TATTTATTTTCTTTCTTGTTATATTTTCACCTCTTTTTTTCTCGGATCATTAGCAGCTATGCTAGAGGCCTACCTGTAGCAAGTCTCATTTTAAAGCCGAGGGTAGATAAAGTTTATCTATCTATCTATCTATCTATCTATTTATGTCGCTGTCATTGATTTTGCAAATCTGAAAGTCCCTTATATCTTGGCCAAACTCTTGACAGTCTAGAAGGCCATTAATATAACTAATGCTTGTACTATTATTAGGACAGCCAGCAATGTATCATGGAACGCACATAATACCTTGGCCACACCCCTGTCTAGAGGGCCATTAATATAACTAATGCTTGTACTATTAGTACAATAGCCAGCAATGTATCACCATATTCAGTTCCTGATAAATAAATCATGTCTTCGGTCATGTCTTCGGGTGTATCTTCTCCTTGGCAATTCTTTTGTGTGTGTCTGAACATCAGATACCTGCAAAAACTGCTATCGAGCATCTCTCTCCTTTTCTTAGTAATGTACAATGTATCACCAACTACTGCCCCAAACCATACTCCTGCACCCATTGCAACTAAAGCACATGGTGGACTCACTGCTAATAGACCCAACACACCAACCATGCCTCCTAAACCTGAACCAATCTGACGGTAAGGCTTGCTTTCAGGAAATGACGTATCCCATGGGTTTATAATTCCAAAGAAGAAGAGAATGTATTCAACAAAGTGCTGCATAAAGCTGACAAGGTTTACAATACTGTGCTGGTAATGTGTCTTGACTATTTTTGAAGTAATGCCCATGATATGTGGTAAGAAGGAACTCAGCAAATCTTCATCTGGTTTTATCAAGGTGCTCACGATAATAAGAAAGTTTCTCACATTCAGGAACAGATCTTGAAGTAGCTTTCCCCTCTCAGTCCTTCCTTGGTAATCAGCACTGGTTCTAAGAAAAGCACTTTGAAATAACTCGATTAAAGCAGTGTAGCCTTCAAAATCTCCAGGAGAATACCTTCCGTTGATAACAACACTGTTATCAGCACACATTTTAGTGAAATATCTTTCCATTCTTCTACGATGGAATTGACAAATATATGATGATTCTCTAGTGTTGTTTGTGAGATCTCTGCTCTTTGTACACTCTGGCCATTTACACCGATGTAAGACATGGTTCCTACCGACGGATCCTGCATTGAATCGTTCAACGTGTATATTTTCAAAGCCATTCATCAAGGGTCTACGTTGGAGTCTGACTTTGATCTTTTTCCCTGTAATTTGTCCATTTGAAAAATTCCTAGAATAAAACGTTTTTGTTTCTACGATAAACAACGGAGTTGGTAACAGCCTGCCACTGAACTCTGTATTCAATTCTTCCTGCCATCGTTGGATCTTGGGTCCGAATTTCCTCTTAGTTGAGTAGTAAGCCATCCCCATAAACTTGGCTAGCCCCTTAGAGCCGAGCTACGCATGCTAAAAGTTGGCCTCCTCGCTGTACTTCTGTGTTTTGCCAAAATACATTAATATCCCCGGACTCAGTTCGGGGAAATCCCGGATATGACGTCATCGTATTTCCCAAGATAGACCCAAGACCTGTAAAAAGTGCCTGTTATAGCCATAACGTCTAAAAGTTCATATTATATACACTTTGTATGGTATAAGGATACCAATTATTGCAAAAGTATGCATTTTCATTTTATTTAAAATCTCTACTTCGACTCCCTCGGTCAACTGACAAACAAAGAGACTGGATATATCTATAAACTGGAAAAACCTGTTTGAAGGGGGTTTCCCAGCAAGCCTATGCGACTAAATCACCAGTTCCAAGAACTTCATCATTATATCACATATCTCAATCGCTTAACTGCAGAACCATGTCTTTTGAGAAAAAATCGACGTTTTCTTCACCTTTAAAACACAGCACGAGGAAGGGAGGTGCAGTCGAACAATGGGAAACAGAATTGCTCAAAGCATTCCATGGTCAAATAGAACGAAAACTGGTTGTCGAAGATCAAGCTTTCACCAACTTGGATCCCAGAAACATGACCAGTGAGCTTAAAAGCACCCAGAAAATGATCCTTCGAACAGCCCAACAGGCTTCCAAAGATGAAAGTATCATTCTAACAAGGTTTGATCCAAATTTCATGTCTCCTCGCGAGATACGCTGCAGGTCGCCTGGATGTAAACAGACGAAGAAACGACAACCATCTTTAACAGAACCCTCAAAGGAAGACTTGTACCTTTGCCCAAGACATAGGAAGTTACTGGAAGACTATGTGACGAAGATTTGCGCTGAGAAGGGAATAGATGTAGGCACGAAGTATCTTGCTGGAGATTTCGAAGGATACATCTCAATGATAGGAATGTTGGAAAGTGCTTACTTCCTGTTTGTGAAGCGACCAAGAGGCACTGAAAACATTCTCAAGGGAAAGCCAGAGATCCTCAAAGAGATTTTCATTAACTTAAGAAATTTCTTGATGATCACAAATGCCCTTTTGAATCCTGGCTGGGAAAACCTGTTCACAGTGTTACCTAGAGTGATGGAAATATTCAGGGATATCTTGAAAATTTTGAGCACTGATGGTGAAAATATTGTTCAGCGGTTGACCGAGTTGGTTGGTCTTTTGCGTTCCGTGATGCAAGATATCCTCTTCACATTTGGAATTGTTTATTCGTGGGTATACTTGACCGTCATAAATGCTAACCCCGGTGCTAAGATAGGAGCAGGTATCGGAGGCTTCATAGGAATGGCTGGCCTCTTCGTTGCCAGTCCTCCTGTGGCCCTGCTGGCAATGGCTGGCGGAAGTATATTTGGTGGCCTTACCGGAAGTGGGATATATAATCTACAGGAGCAAAGAAGACAGGAACAAGAAGCTGAGGAAAGCCATCGCAGATACCAGGAATTTGTTATTATGCAAAGAAACCAAGAAAATCAGAATGAAGTCCAAGCGGGAAATAACCCACAAGTAATGGCTGAGCCCGATGGTGGTGATGTTCTATTTCACATTACTGGCAGTGAACGGGGAGATTCGTGCTTGATCATTCTACTCGCCGCCAGGTTATATTTTGGCATTTAAAACTATCCCTTTTTATTGATAGCTAAACTTTCATTTGTTTAAGGCTGGTAATGTTTCACATATCATATACTTTCATCAATAAAATAATGGGCATGCCCAAGGGATTTGAAGGAGAGGGATGGCTTTTCCAATATGAAAGTTGGCTACCTTGTATACTTGAATTGCTTAAAAGTTCATAGATAGTTGAACTACTAAATCCAGCCCCCACCCACCGCTCCCTAAAATCTATCTTTTAGACTTCAATGATTTGATATAATGTAAAATTTGTATTTTTGTAATGCAAATGAAATGTAGCATTTATAAGAAGCCTGTAAATGTCAGTGGAACAGAAAGATTGCATAATTAATGACAATCTCACTGAATTAATTATAGTTTGCTATAAATATATAAATGACAACTCCTAAAATAAAAATGTACTACTTTGAATAAAAAGATCATTGAGTAAAGTAAACCTCCAAAAAAACTGAAGCCCTGGGCTTATATTTGATAAACATACTTTTTTGGATGGACTTATTTTGTTTCACAGAGGGTTTGTTTTTGGGAGAGTTTGTTTAGGCAGGAATTGGTTTGGTAAATATTCTTCATTTGCAATGGACGTCATAGCTGCCATGTTGGAAGAATTTGACAAAAGATTTTTTAATGAATTATTTTGTTATATCTTCCAACATGGTGGACATCCCTTTTGTTATTGTGCTCTCTTGGGATTGATTGCAAACCAAGAATAGTTGTAGAAAACGCTACTGTTGATTTGGTCACAAGAGCGTATGCAGGATTTATCATGAGAGAGATCACTCGCCACTAATATAGTCTCAATAAATCGATCCCTCTCTCCCCCAATCTCATACCCAGAGCCCAAGCTTCTCCTGGCCATTCACTGAGAGTAACGAGTAACTAGCATCCAGGTCACATTCAAATATTTGTCCACATGAATATTAAGTAAATGTCCGTATTTTTGGGATGGATTAAGTAAAAACTCAAAAATATCCAACTTTTATTGAGTCTGATGTAAAGTGGTGACTTAGGTGTGGCTCCATTTCTTGCTTGGGAAGCAGAATTAAGTTAATTTTTTTATGTTCACACTTGAAAAAAAAAATTGGCAGCAACTAAGGAAAACGTCTTTGAAAAATCTTGCAACTTCTGGGCCCAGTTGTTCAAAGCTCGATTAGTGCTAATCCTGGGTTAACTCTTAATAAGACCTATAGTGTTAATCCTGGATTAGCGCTAATCCAGCTTTGAACAACCCGGCCCTGGTATTTAACGCAGAAGTAACAAGACTTCACACTGAGGTGCTCCATTCTCTTCAATATATACTGAAAAATCTTATGATACTAAATAAACAAACGGTAATGAATACTTTTTGTCTCGTTAAAATCATAATATAGTACAGCAGATTTCGTACCGGTGCGCACGTGCCGTGACATGATCGTGACGGTAGGACACAAGTATTATCATAGGATTATGAACCGCAAATGTAAACACGCATGTACATTTATGACTACTGATAACTCGGAAAGTGCCCTCTTTCTCGGTTCCATTCCTGGACCCGGTATCACATTCGAGGGTTTTTTCTGGGTTCTCAGGATTTCCGCCCTCCACAATGACTGCAGTTGCATCTTTGAGTTAAACGTGCCCTGACTCTGATCAGCCAATAAGCCTGAAGCGTGATGACGTTTAACCCCCGTCTCTAGACCATAATAGTTTTTTAAATTCTTTCATATTAAAATTTTTGATTCCTTAGAGAATACAGGAACAATAGTCATAATTAAAGAACAAAAGCAATGTGAAAAGGATTATGGTCTAGAGACGGGGGTAAAACGTCATCTCGCTTCAGTCTTATTAAGAAGTTGTTTTAGGGTGTTGATAAAATTTGAAGGTCGAAGGCTTAACATTATATTCCAAGGCCTTGGATATAAATTAAAAAGTGCAGTCATGTATTCTTTTTTAATGTTACGTGAAGCGAGCAATGCGAGCACTACATAAGTCGCCACCACCCTTTGTCATGCCTTTTATTCTCATATCTATAAACACCCCTCACTAGAATAGAATGCTGACAACACAGCATAGATATCTATGCTCTCTAGATGCTGACCACTTCCTTTGCTGTACGGAAGACTGCGATCGTTTCATTTTCGCTCTCTTGAACTCTTTATTCTGCAAGATATTTTAGTTTCCACTGACATGACTCGTGCTCATTGGAGTGTGATTTTGTACTCGTTTTTGTCTGAGGTTGAAGGTCACAACGTCACCGGAAGCCATATTTCAGCTCATTGCACAAGACATGTCTAGAAAACGACATCATCAACACTTTCTAGTTGAGGAGGCAAGCTCTAGACGTAAGGAGTTGAAAATGGAGCTCTCAAACAACACTACAGTTTCACTGAGTTCAAAGGATGGTGCTGAAAGTATGCCTGCAGTTGGTGTTGGCTTAGCAGCAACAGTAGAAATACTCCTAATAATAGCCGGAACTATTGGTAATTCTCTCGTCATCACTGCTATCATCCGAAACAAAAAATTACAAACTGCCACCAATTTCTTCATCGCTGCTTTAGCGATCGCTGATCTTTTAGTCAGTATTATTCTTGTTCCTATGCGAGCTTCTCAGCATATCAGTCTGGCTTCTRGGAAAACGGCACAGATTTCTCCTGCTGCTGTTCAAGTTGCTGGCTTCCTCGGAAGGGTGAACATTGTCGCTTCGATTTCTTGTCTTTGTGCCTTGAGTATAGATCGTTGTGTAGCCCTTACATATCCAGTCAGATACATCACCTCATTCAAGCATGCTAAAGGAAAGGTCTTGATCATCATCGCAGTTGTATGGGCTGCTGCGATCTTTATAACCAGTGTACCCAAATTCCCTGGAGTGAGCGATAAACCTTTCTTGATTTTCTTCGTCGTTTTTGTGTTGACAGCAACAGTCGTGATAGGAGTAGCATACTATAAGATTTTCAAAATAGCCAAGGCGGCGAGCCAGCGTAGAAACAAAACAGCGAACAACGTTATTCGTTTCTCCATCTCGACAGCGATGGACCCACGGCTGAAAGAAGCTGCTGACGTTCAAAGCAAGAAAGAAGACGACCAAGCACAGAAACAAGAACACAAGGCAGCTAAAACCATCGGTATGGTCATCGCAGCTTTCATCATTYTGGTCTATCCGCGTATTATATTGATTCTCTACCACTTTGCAGTGCCTTCGTCAGTTTCGAGTCGTCATGCGAGGTTTTGGATTCGCATTCTCCTTTACAGTAATTCTTCCATAAATCCTGYTCTTTATGCTTGGAGACATAAAGACTTCAGAAGAGAATTCATTAAAATTCTTCGCTCATTGGTAGCTTTTTTCTCCTGTCAAGGGCACCGAGAAAACTGGAAAACAAAGCCCCGAAGTGCTTCCAAGGCAACCATGTCCACAAGTATTTAGTGGCGGGAATAAAAAAGACTCATTCAGCTTAAAATTAAGACTTTTAAAGGATAAAAACCTCATTGAAGGTTAAATTCATTCTGCATACCTTTATACTTCCGCATTTAGTGACTTTTAACTTTGTAATTCTATTCCTCAAGAAATGATACCGGAACTTTATATTTAATAACGAGGAAATTGGGTTTCTTTTACAGCAGAAAAATTATGTCATCATGATATGATAGCTCGGCTCAGTTTCAAAAATGAGTGTTGTGTATACATTTATTTCGGTCCTCGTTGACTATTATACCGTGAAATCAAACTTGAGTTTTGAACCGTGTAAATTGAATTAAAATTTAGATGTGCATTCTCTTATATTGTAAAATACTTCCAGTGAAAACTGTAATAAAGTAAAAAAGTGTTCTGAACAGAGAAAATAAAGTTAAAAAATCTTGTTAATTTAAAGCAAATAGTGACTATCTTCTTGACCGCTGATCAAACACGGATGTTCAAATATCAAATATTTTCATTGTTTTTTCATTTGGTATGTGAAACAATAAAATACATGTGTAATGTGGTATGACAACTACACTCTTATCTTATTCAAAACATTTATTCTTGCACATCAGAAATATTAAGAGGATATTTTAAATAGGAAAGGAAAGGAAAGGAAAAAGTAATACTCTATTATTCTGCAACAAAAATAAGAAGCCCTTTGTTTAAGTGATGATTTGGAACTGATGCTTCTTTTATTGAGTGATCATTTTGTCTTTGTTGCTGATAAATAAGGTGCTGCTCTGAAACACGTTTTTGAAACCGTAATAGTCTTCCTGCATTAACACATCCACCACGATTTCCTTCTCAGTACTCCCTTTTTGACCACCTATTTCTTTTTCTTTCCTTCTGACATTAATTTTCTTCGTATAAAAATCATACATATGAAGATAAGTACTGTTTGTTTATGGTGTCTATTTATGGCATTTTTGACTGTCCCCTCCCCCCTCCAAAAAAAACACATCCAAACACACACATGACTGACCTGTCAGAAGTGAACAATGAGTTCAGTACACATTAATGTCTTTAGAAAATAAATCTGCCAGCTCTATTTGTTTCCTTCAGTTCAGTCTCCATTAGGGGTGTCAATCATATAACGCCCCTTCTCTTCAACCACACTTCTAACAAATGAGTGGAAATCCTTTGTAAAATACTCCTAACTTGACTGGCAACTGCGAACATTTTGCCAATGTTTTATAAAGTCAGTTATCAAATCATCAAGCACTGTACATTTATACAACACCTTAAACATTTTCACTATTTTTTGAGTTACTAATAATAATGTCTATTCCCATACTCTTAGCCGAGCCCATGATAGTCTTGCAAACACTTTCAAGAGGTACATTCCTGAAGTTTTTGTCTTCTTTCTTTATCTTTGCAATCTCGTAAATCTGTTGGACTGTTACGCTTCCAACTACTTCTCTTCCTATGAAGCAACACAGGTGATTTTACAATAATATACAACAAACATACATTTCTGTTCATCTAGTTGTCTATCTTTCAACAGGGCTAAAAATAATAGCCAGTCAATGAATTCACATTATAAAACGTAAAACCTGTAAACAGGGCTTTAAAAAATGGCCTGCTTATGGAAAATGTCCAGCCGGAATTCAATGCCTAGCCTGCAGAGCAGGCATTCTTGTGATGGGTTTGAGGAAAACTCAGGGTTTTGGGGTTCCTGTTTCGATTACGTGCCCGTGAGTAACATGGGACCTAGCAAAAAAGGTGAAAAAGCCCCCTTTGCTTCTTTTTTGCTTGGTTTCAATTTTCGCTCATTCTAAATTTCCAAAGCTCCCCCAAAACCCTGGTTTTTCCCCAAACCCACAAGAATGCCTGCTTTGCAGGCTAGGAATGCCTTGCCGGTCACTTTGACCAGTAATGTGGAGCCAGAAACAAGGTTTGACCAAGATAAAATTAATTTGGCTGATCATCATTACTGGCGACTGATTTTCAATGGGTTACCTGGTTTTTGAGCTCCTTTTTCTATTCCTGCTGCAGATTTCAGGAAATATGATACTGTTGGGGACATGGTTTCAAATGTAAATGTCCGATCTCCCTGCAACATATAGAAAACATTCATCAAGCCATTTGAGCCCTCCTCACCCCCTCTAGGTGTGACCTGGACAAAAGCCAGGACTTCATGGCTTAAGACAAGTGCCCTGAGTGATACACTGAGTGATACACTTGTTTTCTTGTGAACATACAGAGGGTAACAGTGCACTCACTTTTCCTTTCCCTTTAGTTCACTAGCTTTCTATGCAGATTCCTCAGGGTTGACAAGTATCGCCAGATGTAGGTGTAGGAGTTTAGGTGTTCACATTCATTGACACAAATTCCCTCATGGACCTTTGCTGCCTCTCAACACCATTGACATCAATATATTCCCAAGTCATGCCTGAGCATGGGTGATGGGGAGTTGGTGGATAGAGTTTCATATTGATGTTACAATTTTAATACCAGTTCATAATCAATAGGCATTGGGCATATATCTTCATTATATGGTTTCATAGTCAATAGAAATGGTAACATGATACAACAAACATGATGATAGCCTGCAAAACTGCTCTCCTTTCCAAAATCCATCCACACCAGAGGGCCATTTTCGCAGGCTAACATGATGGCTATCACACTGTCCATATAACAAAAATCAGTAGAAGCAAAACAAAGCCAAAATGACAGTCATTCGGCTCACCTTATAATTAATAATTGTAGGTATAGGAACACCTTGCTTGATATGTTTGGTTTTGTCATTGAATTCTTTACAGAACTGTGCAATATTGATTCCTCTCTAAATCAAATAAGAACAAAATAAACTGACAAACCCTGATGGAGATAAATTCTCCTATCGAGGTACAAGTTACCATAGTTAGTAGACTAACTACACAGATACACTATGAAAGTTCTTGGTTTAATTCTCATGAAGGACAGATCCATCTGTTATACTTCCGAGTAGGAGGTGGGAGAACACATTGGACCTCTTTTTAAGGGGAGAGGGTATAGGTAAAATATTGTAACAAATATTAGTCTACTATATTTCCAAATACTGCCCCTCTTTCCCACTTGCAAGGGTGCTTTAGTTTAGTGGTTTTTGAAAAAGAAAAACAATTTTGAGAGGTCAAAAAAATTTAATAAATGCATTAAAATATCAGAATAAATATCAATGCTTGCTTTTTAAACACTAAGTAAAGAAATATTTGTCTTGAAAGAATGAATTTGCGTTCTCTACTATAGTAGAGACTAGTAGTAGCTTGATCTAAGTCTTGATCTCATGTCTTTACACGTGAGTCTTCGAGTAAATTCGTATGTTTATTTTAAAGAAATACCAATAAAAGTAGCATCCAAGATATTCAATTTAGTTACCTGTCCTAGTGCAGGGCCCAGTGGAGGAGAAGGAGTCGCTTTACCAGCAGAAATATAAGTTCGTAGTTTTCCACTGACTTGCTTGGCCGCCATCTTGGTTTGGACTGAGCCCGTAGTTTGTATGGACAGTGGTTAATAAAGTGGCTCGACACCTCTGACGCCCGTATGATGCACAATATTAGAATTCATTTTCTCCTTCCCAAGTTCATCTACTCAAAAAATCTTATCTGCTAAGTAGAGTGTTTTTTGTGCTTTCATTTTTGTTGATTGAAAATTAAAATAACCGGAGACCATACTCCCAGACCCGAATGCTGAAGCGTCGTATGGCAGCGCAAAGCTTTTACGGCTACGCCAGAGATTTCGACCCCGACACCGCTATCCTATCCCGGGGGGACTTACAGACTGATCAGGAAGCTCAGCAAAAGCCTAAGGGAGAGGTTAGTCGGCCCCTAGACCGTAGATGATTAACCCCTTGCTATGACCAGCAAACCCAAAATTTCACTTGTGCCGCCACTGGGTTAGCATCCATGGCCACTCCAAACGTGTGGGACGCGTTTCGGAAAATTGCGCGACTTATGATTGCGCGCGTGCGCAACTTTATGGCAAGTCGTGATCAAAATTCAGTTATTTTTTTCGATTCTTATCCTTGAAGACATGAGGATTTTTACAGCCCGGCATTGAAAGGATAAGAAAATAAAAAGAGAAAAAAATGGAATACACTAGCGTAGTAAGATATTTACCAATCAACGCTAAGCGCGTGCAAAAGAGCGGTCAGAAGTGCATGGAATTCAATCCCTTTTTCTTAATTAAAAAAATATTTGTATGTCCTGATATGGAATATTTTTTTAATGCGCTCGATAGATATGATTATATTCTGAAATTTATTAGTAATGGAGGAGGTCTGATTTTACAGATAAGCCCCATGGCTTTTAAAGTTCGACTTAATAAATATCCCTTTATCAAATATTTGTAACATATATAAAAAAAATACAATGGCCAATAAACTGTTATACTGTAATCGACAACACGTACACTGACCAGACCAATCACAACATTTGCTCTGCTGCGTCATGATAACGAATGATAAGAGAATCAGGATGCGGCAGTATGTTTCATATGCTCCATCTCTGACGCACGTTTGAATTGAGTGTCAGTATCAGTCTCGATTTGTGTTGCCTCTATTCGCTTTTCCAATGGAGTGCCCTTCATCGATCCACCATCCATTCATCAACTCCTGACGCACGTTTGAATTGAGTGTTTGTCTTGGTCGCCTTCAGAGGACACAGTGGCGATTTGTAGTGCCTCTAATCGCTGTTCCAATGGATACGTCACAAAACCATAATAATGCACAACGTCCATTGGTCCCCAAGGATAGGAATCAGTGATTGGATGAACGTCTATGACGTCTACTCCCGCCTTACACATGGCCCACGTTGCGTACGCGTTAAACAACAATATTCTCTGTAAAAAAAAATAATAAAAAATAACTGAATAAAATAAAAATAAATAAATAAATTGGTTTTAGCAGTGGCAAAACAGGAGAACTCGAAAAACTCTCGAAAAACAGAAGAACACACAATCAACTTTACTGACATACGACACAGACTGATCAGAAATGATAAGAAGGACATGGAGAAAGAATGAAAGAAGAATCAAAGAATCAAAGAAAGAAACTGAGACACGAAACTGTGCTTTTCTACAGTACTACCACAGGTAGCCCAGTATTATACCCTTCTCTTAACTAACCTGTGATGTCAAGAAACGAAAATGCGTCACTTGTTTTTGACTAGCGTTCTCTTTCATAATGGCTGTGGTTGTTTTCCACACTACCCTTGACTTGTACCACAAATCGTGCTCGCTCCCAGGCTTCTTCTCGGTCAACATATCAATCACGTGATCTATCAATTTCTGATAAGTTGTGAAGTTGATTGTCATGACAAAGTGAAGCCCAAGGTTCAGTAATAGCGTGCTATTTGAATCCATATCTGGGTCAGACAAGACGTCTCTTATCGACTTTATTACTCGTTTCTCGTCGAAGTCAAGAACGTCATACTCCTCTATTGCCCTCTGTAAAAACACAAAATAACAGAAAACGACTTAACTCATAATGCTTTGTCATATGGCTTGGCCCCTGCTCAAAAGTATTCACTCCAATTAACCCCGACCCCAGTCCCACAGGAATAGTTGTTTGTACTGTACCTTATGGCCAGAAAGGATAGGATAGATCCAGTTGTAGCTGAGCTTACACTGCTCGTACAGTTGGTCACACATTGTTCGCTTTTTCATGGACTGAACGAATATCATGCCTACTGAGTCACCGTACACCCAAAGTGTCCCTGAAGGGGAGGGGTGGGGATAATTATGCCAATGGAACGTTTCTGTAAAAATAAAACAATTTCAGTAAGCTCAATATGTTATCTCTTTTGAATGTGAAATAAAAACTAAGAGTTGCAAGACAGTACAACATCCATTTATTTCTTCCTTTCTTTTCGCATTTGCTTCATTATTTAACGTGCTGCATTGTCCCTTACGGGCCACCGTGAAAATACGAATGATTTATTAGTATCGTGTAACAATATCTTGCCTTGGAAGAATGGTAACCACGTCTTGTTGGCCCATCGTCCGTATCCATTCCATAAAAACCTGCAGCTGGTTAGACACGACGATGACGGAGAATTTGGAAGTAAGTCTGAAGAAGTTAAGAGAAAATGTTGTCATGAAAATAGCATTTATAATTATTGAATTCTCGTCGTCCTGAATGCTCGATCAAAATGTCCAAAACAAGGGTAACCACCGAACGAACTCAACATGTGCATTTATTTTCATTTCCCATCCCCGTCGTCAAAAAAGCAACTTTTCACTTTGACTGATTGAATATTATTGGGGTTTGTGTAACGTTACAGCCGCCATGTTGGCGACTTTTAAATTTGTTTTCTTTTGTTACATTAACGAACGTGGCCACCACTTAGTTTCAAAGGAAAAGGTGCACTTCGAGGCGCTTCACTTTCTGTACCTCTGTATAAATAGATTAATTTGGTCATTGACGTCTGTCTCACCTCTCAAGTCTGCTTGAACACGTGCTGCAGGCACGTTTATTGTCAGCGGTTTTCCTTGCTGCTCAAAACTGCCAAGTCGCTGGAAAAGGAAGTCATCAAGTTTACCAAGGAAACCTTCTTTTTGATATTTTCCCTGCTTGTTACCTGTTGAGTGACATCCATAGCCGTAATAAGCTTATTTATCTTTTTCCCCCAGGAATCGTTACATGTAAAATGCTTGTCATTTGCCAGTAAAAAAAATAACTTGGATCGCGAAGACTAAAATGGGATTTGGTTAGATTTTGCATTGGGACCCGGTGGGACGTTATGGGTAGAAATTTTTTGTGATAAAAGAATGGTATCGTGTAATGTCAGCTTAACGGAGCGCGGGCAGAAAGTCGTATACAGTCCTTGGGAGCTTGTGACCCCTCTTTCCGCTTAAATTTGTAACTCGCATTTGTTTTAGGGGAGGGGTAGGTAGGAGAATTTGTCGAGGATAATAGGGAACAAGCGATCCTCCATTCTTGGATACGCTGCTGAATAATGTGTTACCTTTGATGAACCAGTCACCCGGAGGATCTCTCAAGCCATCACAGAGACTGTAATCCAGTATGATAATCACTTCATACACACCAGGTTCCATAGTAAGAAACAACGCCTCGTACGTCCCATTATTGTAGTCAAATACTTTAGCAACAAGCGACGATGGACCTGCAACATAAACCCTCCAAGAATCACCTCCAACGGTTTTCAGTCTGCCATCTGCAGTCCTTGACCGAATGAATACCCGGCTGAACTCGCCTGCCGGTCGAATATCCAGGGATAAAATTTCACTTGTGTTTCCACTGCTTCGATTGATAGTTTCTAAGCCTTTTTTCTTCCATTCCATATCGTTTTTACATGGATTTAATATTTCTTTCCAGTCTAATCCAGCTTTAGAGTATCTCAGCCACTGAAATTTGAAGTCGTCGATAATTTCTCTTAACATTAAAATCTGGTTTTCTCGACTGGAATTTTTCTGGTTTTGAATCTGAACTTGTTCACTCTGTATAACAGTTTCAGTATACCTCGATTCCTTTAGATTGTGATAATCATCATCCCTTGAAAGATTTCTTAAGGCGGCCTTGGAAGCTTTGCTTGACTGTAAAGAGAGAGGAAAGCTTTGTATCTTTTCTTTCGTTCGTTCACTATCTTTTGTGTGACCTTCGTATATATAACTGTTCACTCTAGTCGTCGTCTCGTGATGTAGAATTGCAGAGTTAATATCATTATAACAACGAATGTAAAAATACAAAATTAAGCTAAAGAATAACAAAATGACTATTAATCTTGAAGTAAAAAAGTTATCCCGGCGTTTCCTGAAAAAACTGAAAATATTCCTTGATATTTGAGGTGATTTTGATATCAGGGGAACCAACCACGTTGCCCTTCTTTCCATTCCGGCATTTCCCAGGCTTTTTGATTCCGTCGAGACTAGGAGGAGATCGAGTTGATCTAACGCCTATAGGAAAATGAAAAAAAGTTTTATGCCAATAACAAAATAAATATTTTGCCTATGAAGTGATATATATGACAAATTGAGTTTAAAGTAAATATAAACAAATTATTGACCAAATTTATGCAGGAATTCGTATTTTGGACCGCCTTAATGTAGCGACTAGTTTTTGCTTTATTGCGACCGCTTATTCATCCGGCCGACTATATGTCTTCACGGGTTGGAGTTCAGCAGTAATGTTACCATTAAAAATATATAGTTAATACTAAGACAAACTAATACCAAATGATTAAATAAAATAATAAATTGTTGCTGGATTAATTGAAAACAAGAAACTAACCATTGAACACGCTTCCTAAATCTTCGTCCATAAATAGAAGCTGCCAGCCGCTCTCATTGCCGTTTCACTCCTCAACGATGCTTAAATCTCAGAGCAATCTTCTAGCCACATAATCTCCATGTCAAATAGGCACTCAATATATAAAATCTAGTAGATAGTTGTTTTTATAGATTACTTTGAAAATCAATTGGCGTGAAACAATTTAATAGAGGAAGTACCGGTACTGCGACTGCGCATGCTCGAGAGGGTAACAGGTTTGCTATAGCATGTGGTTATAGTATTAAAGAGGTGTTGTCTTGGACACTAATGTAAACAGTGGTATTTGAAAGAGGGAATCGAAAAAGTTTAAATTGTAGCATAATGGAATAGAACGTCTTCAATTTGTGTTGCCGGAATATTATTTTTACTTGACCAAAAGGCACTTTTGTTATGATATTGATCGACGTTTACATTCTCGTTTCTGAGCTTTTTGAAAGTTTTGAATATCAACTACAATTCAATCGAATATTTTAAATTTCTGTCGGTTAAGTTAGGTTTCAATCCCACCTTATCTGCAGGATAACATTTCTAAAGTTTTTTTGTTTGTTTTTTCTTCGTTTGTTACTGTCGGCCGTGACCCAAAAGTTCATGCCTAATTTTCGTTGAACTGGCAACTTTTCTAACAGAAACGAAACGAAAGAAATAAAAGAAAAAAAATTGTATTACCTCAAACAACAACGCAATTTTCCTCTGAAAAGAGAAAAGTCTTTTTCCTTGGTTAAACATACTTCTTGCAAAATACTCTCCCTCTTCTTTTTTTAAGCCATTTTTCTCTCATCCTCGGGAACCTATACTAGAGGTAAAATTCTGTAGCTCGTTTCTCGCTAGAATTTTACCCCTGGGTTCCTGAGAATGTTTTTCTCCCTCTTCCCCCCCTTTTTTTTTCCAGCCGTTTTCCCCTTGCAAGCAAATCATAGTAGATAAGAATCATTATCTCCCTTCTCTCTATATGTTTACGTTGTTTCTCTCTCTTCCCTGTTTTTTTATTTTCTTCTTCTTCTCCTCCTCCTTCTTCTCCTTCTTCTCCTTCTCCTTCTTTTTTTTTCTTCTTCTTCTCTTAATAGCCGTTTCTCCCTCCTACCTGATCCGTTCCCCTCTGCTTTACAGAATAGAAGACAAATCCTCCCGCCCCTCCCCCAACACGCCCACTTATTCCATTACATCATATGACCGTCTCGTGACCTTTTGCAACCTTGGACGAAATTCAAACGAGTTTGCGCAACCTAGTTCTTCTTGACTTCTGTATTGCTCGAAGAACGACAAAAAAAAATTTCAACGATGCTTTGGCATATCATTATCTGCGCTTTCATTGTAGCCACTGGAGGTTCACCTTTGCAATCGGTAGCACATTCCAATGTTGTTGTTGAAGATCGTTTGGCCGTCATCAAAAGCACGAGACAAGCTTCAAATAGTTTCACTTTTGGCTTTCATACTACAAACGGGAAGCTGAGATACAAATATACTGAAAATGATGGCTGGTCTGATTGGTTAGCAATACATTGTTTTTCTTTTATTGTTACTGCTATATTGACCATAGCTGCATTGGAAAACTAACGTAAGGTTTTATACTCAAGTCTTTGTTTGAACGACTTCCAGGAAGAACCATTAATTTTTGATTTTTTTTTTGAAACCCTCGTTTTCTCGATCTCTTCCTTGAAACAAAAAACACTGCAAGCAAAGGCGTTAATCGATGGTCAATTGATATTCTGTTGACTCTATTTTCAATTTTTACCTTGATTTTTCAAAACAGGATTGATCTTGGCTCACCCAGTGGTACCGAGGTGATTTCCAATCCATCTGCTGTTCACGATGCCAAAAATCTTACCAAAGTATTCTGCCTTTGCGCCGATGGTCAAGTTTACTCAATAGAGCAAGATGCACAGAAGACAACTGCTTTTGGGAAGTGGATGGTCATATCAATAAAGCTACCTATGGACAAAGGTATAATTCTAAAATTTATTCAAAACTATGGAAAAGTGAAAGCACAAATTCCCCGCCTACCCGTCCCCCTTTGTGTTAATTCCCTGACTAATGCCAATCCTGAAATCCTGAAATCATAGAATTTTGAAAATCATTGCACACAGTATGTTGATGTGCAGCCACAGTATATAGGTTGGATTGCCTAAGAATTGGCAGTCATTCCATACATCCATCCCTCCCTCCCTCTCCCCCACCCCCTAAAAAGCATGCCATTCAGAAGGGAGATCACTGGTACCCTGGAACTTCATTACAGTGCACAGTTCTGCTTATCCATGCAAAATCTTTTGATATTCTCACATTTGACAGCTCACTGTAATAGTCAAAACACTAGGGGTACTAAATCAATCCATCTGGTTGGAAATTCCTTTCCTAATGGTAAAAAGAAGCAGGAAACTTGGACTTTTGACAAATATGGTGCACATGTCTACTGCAAAAAAAAAGACAAAAATAGCGGGAAACTAGATTACCTCAATGGAAAAACCAAGTTTTCCAGAACTTTTCTATTGGAATGACACATACCATTTGTTTGTCCAACTGGAATTTCATTTTTTCCTGGTAAATGGTAAGCAGCCCTGATATCCATACCAGCCACATACATCCCTTACTCACACAAAGATGACTCTTTCTGTTAAAAGGTGCTGTTCTGAATGGAAAAGACAATGTCAAGGCTCTCATCTTCCAGGGAAAGGTTTCTGTATTTGCCAGAACTCTAGCAAAGAGTTCCAGATTGTATTGGACACAAGAGAATAATGGGAACTGGACAAGCTGGTCTCTGATTGGTGGAACATCAGTAGCTCTCAAGACTGACATGACAGTGGTTTATAATGGATTCTCTAAGGTAACAGACATCAAAAACAATAATATAATTACTTCAAAATTATTTATTTGTAAAATGGTCTTCTTCAAATTGAACGAAGTTGAATTTTCCTTTTGGGCTGCGTTTGGTTTTAGAGCCAGAATATATTTTATTTGATTGCAGTATTTAGAAGCATTTGCAGTAATGGAAAACAAATACATGTACAGAACATGGCAGACAAGTAAGTTGTTTACAATATCTTAGTGTATTTAACAGCTCCAAAGGGCTTAAAATTGAGACTTTTTGTCTCCTCGATTTGTAGGGCGCTTGTGCCTGGCTAGAAGAATTTCGAGACATTAATGAAGTTATTATTATCATTATTATCATTATTCATTCAGGTCCCAGTAAATGGGTGTCGTGGGATAAGACAGGTTACAGAGCTCCAACATCCGTCCATGCTCCAGTAGCTCATCAAATGCCACTCAACTTTTTCAATGGTGCTATCAACGTGTTTGTCTTTGGTGAAGATGGGTATATTCATCACATATGGCAGACAACATGCGACAAGGTGCCAAATCCCTGGGGATGGTGTACATGGAGCTTGTGGTACAAGATAGGCAGTGCAATCCCAAAGTCAGCTGAATCTGCAAATCCCTTGAGTATTGGTGCAAATATACACAATGGCATTGAGGTAATTCTTGGAATACAACTTATTTACTAGAAAACCTTGCAAGGCTACTTATTAAATTGCTCCATATGAGCTGTTTATAGGCTGCATCGTTTAACCTGTATTAGTTTATAGCTTGACAATTATGAATGTAAAGTGGAACTGTGCTACCCATTTGCACCATAACTGTTGTCATGAAAACACACGTCAATCATTCTTGATAGGTCTTCACTGTCAGCAGTGATGGTGGCTTGTGGCATTTATGGGAACTTGAACAAGGTAGTGACTGGAGTTCATGGGAATATGTTGGTCGACCAAAGTCTGGACCAATAGCCAGTCATCCAGCTATTATAAATGATGACAAAGGCTGGTGGGCAGCATATGCAGTAAGTATAAAGTTTGAACCCAATAAATATTTTCATAGTTTATATTTATGGGAGAGGTATAAGTTATCAGGGGAGGTTAGGTTGCACATTCATTTCTTAACTTACCATACTTAATTCAAGCATGAATATACATATATGACTTTCAAAAAGGTTGTCGAAGAGAGCTGGGTGTCAGAAAATAATATTAATAATAATATAGCTTGACTCATACTTGGTATACCCATGTTATCAATCAAAGTTTTGCATATGTAAAACAAAAAAGTGTAACCATAGTTTTTTTTATTGTTCAACATTTGCCAATCCATCTGATGACCTTTTTTGAAATAAGTGCATAATTATATGACCCCTTTTTCCTGCGAATATTTGATTATGTTAACCCTTAATATTGACTTTTCTTCTCTGTCCGAAGCTTGGTTTCAAAGATGATATAGAAATTGTGGAGCAGAACCGGTCTTTACAGTTATCACCAGCTGAAGCACCAGCCGGGAAACCAGTCATAGTTTCCTGGATGGTACCAGTTGATGAGGCCACAGCAATGGATTGGATTGGTAAGAAAATGCGACTCTGTTCATCAGACCACCTTGATCCATCATAGGCAGTGGAGTGAATTTAGCAGGATTGAGCTTGGTCAAATTATATATCCAAAAGGTGGCAGGTTAATAGCTTTTAGTGCCACCTATTCCCCTGGGAATTCACAAGTTATTCTCCAATAACTGCAAAGTGCATCATTCTTACACTATATTGTTTTAATTCTTATATTAGGAGTTTATCCAAGTGGCTCTGATAACAACATGTACGTTGATTTCTACTATGTTGGTGGAGGTCAAAACCCAGGCAAAAATGCTCGATCAAAGGGTTCCTTAACCTTTACGTCATACTTGCCCAAAGGAAAATATGACTACAGATATTTGTAAGTATGGCAAACTTTCCTTTTAAAACCATTGTTTAGCTTGATCTCGCAATGTAGATGGTCATCATTTCTGTCATTGAGCGGCCATTATTTTTAGCCCTGTTGTACCTTACTAAGTGCCGGTGCCAGCAAAGAAAGAAGTAATACACATCAAGAAGACGTCGTAGTATAACAATTCAATCTGATTTTTAATTTTCAGAGTAAACAAAAAGTTTTTTGATGCCATTACAACACCTTTCACAGTGGTTAGTGGGCCAACCGACAAAGAATGGGTCCAAGTCTACAGAGGCATTGCCGCAGGGTTGGGCAAATACAATGTGAGCTTTGAGACATGTGCCAAGGATGGTGAACAGACTGTTGAAACATTCAAGCAAGCATTTGAGGCCTTTGATAACAAACAGGTTTACCGTGGTATGCAGCTTATTGGACAGGCTTTGATAGATGTTTACAAGGCCTTTGAAGCTTGTGAAGAAACAGCCATTGCTAAGAAATTGGAGAAGCTAGCCAATGATTTTATCAAATGTACAGCAGGTACAGTAGGTGTAAAACCATACTGGTGAACTAAGTTTAAACATCCTATTGAATAGACCTTTTTCATTGTTCTCCTTGGTGCAAGGTTATTTTCCCATTTCAGACCATGTGTCATTCCTTAGAGTATCATTTCTTTGTTTAGTGGTTGCTCATAAGAAGACACACAGATGGATAAAACTTAAAGATTCTGAATCTTATTCTCAAGGGAATAACACTCAGGGTCTACAACGGGAAAACTTTGCAGCGCAACAAATAAGGTGTATTGATGTAATTGGTGGTAATTTTTGTTAGAACCTTTGAGATATTGGTTATTCAAGATATATATGCAGGGTAAAATAATATTATTGTAGTATCACTCTGCACATGGGACACAATATAATAGGACGTTTACAATATCCAGGGCTTGAGATAATGGGGCTTCACTGTATAATCTTATCTCCGTAGTTCCCATCCCTGTCTAGATCCCCACCCTTGTCACAAAACCTATTTTTACATTGTCATCATGGTATTATCTATCAAGCCATTGAAAAATGTTTTATAGAATAATCCTTTTTTTTTTCACTAATAACTTTTAGAAATACTGGCTTTTTTATAGGTAATTGTGTCAACTTTGCTATTGACTCTATTGAAGAAATCATTATTTTGTTTGAGAATGTCTACGAGATTTATGGTGATGTCAAAGGTGCCAGTAATTCATTCAAGATTGAAGCTTATGAACAAGGTATGCAATCATCTAAAAACATGCTGTCAGTAGTAATGGATGGGTTAATAAATGTTTAAAAGTCAGTTTATTCAATGCACCTCTTTACCTTGGGTAATGTTTTTTCATTACAGACCATGCGTGTCATTCCCTGAGTTGAATCCATTATCATGTATCTTCTTGTGCACAACCGTTAAACAAAGAAATGATACTCTAGGGAATGACTAATTGTCTAATTGTCTTAATACGAGGGAGATGTCATTAATGTAGGATATTAAATAATTATTAATTTATTTTTTATTTTTATTTTTATCAGGTGGATGGTGTGTTGGTCGTGTAGTTGCTGTATGTCTTGCAATCCCAACATGATTGAATTACACACTGTATATGTATGCTTTAAACTTATTCGAACTTTCAAATTCTTATCAATACACTGAAACAAACTCTGGACTGATCTAAGTCATAGCATGGATAACTTGCAGATCCAACCACAAAACAAATTGTGGGCTGACCTAAGTCAGTGCACAGCTAATTCATAGAGTAGATCAAATTAGAATTTAGCTGGTTAGATTTTGACGATTTGATTAGACTTTGTGCTTCTTTATCATAAAACAACCTTTGCCTCCTGCTGACTGGCTTCACAGGACTTTAACTTGTGCTGCGGTTCTTAACATAAGAAAAATTTGCTTTTTTTTTGAAAATTTTGAAATAGAATCACCAATTATTTATAATAAAATACAAATCATAGGATAAAAGTTGCAAATTCAGCGTAAAAAAAACATCTATGTTCCGTACAATCCAGCCAACCAAAGTCCAGTCCATTCCATCTATGTACGGTTCCGGATTTTCTAAAATTAAAAAACACTTAAAATTCGGGCTTTTAGAAGAGGAAAACAAGTTTTAGAAGTTGGGCATGTTTTTGCTGTACATAAAGATTATCCATGGCCTTCTGATATGACTTTTTTTTTTAAATTTCTGGCATCACAGTTTGAGAAAAATAAATGACTTACAAAATGTTGTTCTTTTAACACACTTGTTTTATTTGATACTTAGTTACTTTGCAGCAATTTTCGATACTGTGTGAACTCAATAATTATTGCAAGTTGTTCATTGGAATTTGGTTTTTCACTGCCCCTCAGTCAATAATATATAATACTAAGGTACTGACTGATTAATTTTGAATGATGACAACAAATAAATTCTAGAGGACAACTTGCAATATTATTACTGAGTCACATAATATTTTAAAAAACTGCTATAAGATTTGAAAGACAAAAATTACATATATTTCAGATGGGAAAAATTTAACTCCACCCTCTCCTCCCTGTGAACCAAAGGACAACATTATGACTATAAATACATGTATTCTAGAAGTAAAGAGCATAGTGTTCTACGGAATTACACTATTCTCTCTAGTTCTTTAGCATACTCAAGCATGTGTTGTGTCATCTTGTGGGAAGGAATCTCCAAACTTGTTTCTTTCTTGTTATCGTCTTCAAAGGTGTATATGTTTTGTGGTTTTAAGACCCAGCCTCGCTAGAAATTACAAAATATAATTAGCATTAAGCAATTCAATTGGGCAAAAAGAGGTATTCTTCAAGGATTCCAAAACTGTTTTGAAGGCCATGGAGTACCATGAAATGTGTGTGTGTGTGTAGGGTGGGGAGGGGAGGGGCCCATGATATTATGATATGTGACCTTTGATCCTTTATAATGAATGGTTTATTTACCTTGTCTGCAAAGGCTTTCATACTTTTTTCACCTTCAAAATACAACATTCTCATTCCTTCCTTAAAGGTTATGCTTCTATATGACTTTTCTATGCAAGCTGCAATCTCTTCTCTAGAAGGAAATACGAGTCACTAAAATTAATTTTTATCATCAAAGATAAACAATATATATATGTGGACTGTTAAATCAAAGGTAAACCAAAAATAAGAAAGGAAGGAAACAAAGAATAAGGGAGGGAAGGAAAAAAGGAAGGAAGTAAGGAAGGAGAGAAGGGAAAGAAATGAGGAAAAGAAAGAAGGAGAGAGGGAAGAAAGCAAGGAGGGATGAAAGTAGGAAGTAAGGTGGGAAAAGAGGAAGAAAGAGAGGCAAGGATTTTTTGATCATCTGATATTCACCTTAGTGTTCCTAAAAGAATGTTCATAAAGAAATGATAATTCTCTGCTGGTACATTCCCCCTGGCAACAAAGACCTGTAGACAAAACAAAGAATGCATCACATAAGGGCAGAAGAATTTTGCATCAAAAAACGTACTTTGTGACTGGTGCAAGGCATTATAATACTTCTCTGATGACCCAGGTTGATTGAGAGTTCTACTCGGGCAATGAATATTTCATTTTAAGGAAGTATAATCAGTTATGACTTGTAAACTCGAATTAACTTTAATCTTGTTTCTTAATTCTGGATTTTAATTTTTTTTTATTTTCGAAAATCATGTGACCAAGTGGATGTTGAATGGCAAAGATGATGAGACTCATTGCAGGTCTTTTCCAAGATAGGTCGCAGGAAAATAAGTGAAACTAAAACTAAAACTTGGACTAAACAAAAACGCAACTAAACAGCACAAAATCTGGAGCAGAACTGATTYATTTTTCAAATTACGAATACTGTTGTGTGATCACTTACATCCGGCATTCCAAATATGGCTAGTACAAACGTAACGCAACAAACTCGAATAAATCTTCAACCAGTTTTCAACTTGGTTACAATCAAGAAGTATGTAGATTGGATTAATATTATTATCATCATAATTATTTTATTAACTTACTTTGTTATAGCTTCCTTCCATGAGGTACTGAAAGGAAAAAAACAGTATTAGTGTTAAGAATCTGTTTTCACTATAGTTGCATATACTATATCACCTTAAGTAGTTGGGTATATCATCAATTGAGGGTGGTATAGTGGTAAGGCAATCGCCTCTCGCCTCTGGGGTTTTAGGTTCAATTCTTGGCCTCAGCATGACATGTGAGTAGAGTTAGGGAATTACCTCCCTTGATTTGAGGGTTTTCCTCTGCATTCTCTGGTTTTCCTCCCTCAGTTGCGAGAGTAGCCTTACCCTGACTTTGATCAGCTCACAGGCTGTTTTCAAGTTAAATGTTTCAGATAAAATGTTTAAATGCTGGTAAAAAAAGTTTACAAATTATTATGAATCTTTCCTGATCAACCCTTTGTCTCTTACTAGAGGAACAAGTCTCAGAACAAAATCCCAAAAAGGGATGGATTTGTAATATTAAAATGTTGTTATTACAACAAAACACGCAGCTGACTCATGATATTATTAATCGTTATCTGGATCATTACCTGTTCTAGCGAGACAGGATGCCTGATATAAACATTGTATTGTAGTTCTTTCGCTGGTAGAAGCTCCAACTCCTAAAAGAATAATAGTGTCAGTAACACATTAAATTATGGCACTTTCTGCTGAGTGGTTTTCAAGTTTTAAAAAAAATTTCTCTGGGAAGATAAAATCTTGTCATGCAAAAATACTGCATTGCTCCTGCCCTTGATGGATGGCTGCCGAAACCACTCTATACAACTTAACTTCAAAGAACATGAAGTTAAAATGGTCGTGACTTACTGTGTGGAATTCAGCCAGTCTATTCTGAGCCAAAAGAGATAGTAGATTCAGTCCTAGAAGTTGATACATGTAAGCAGAATCCTCAATGATACCCCTGAAAAAAAATCCACATGTATGCCAACAGATTTTGATCAACGCATGTGAATACAGTACAGTATATACGAGTATACAATTCACTAGTAAACAAAACAAGTATACATTTTCAGAACAAAACTGATATTCCCCCCCCCCCCCTCCAAAAAAAAAAAATTCATTGATACCGATGTTTTCTGACAAGTCAACATGTTACCCATTATTATATTCAAGTGGAGCGGGATCTTTGTTAGAGCTGTGTCATTACCTATAATCCAGGTAATATGGCTTCAGCATGGCCATGTATCTTTCAAATGATGGAATATCTTTCATTTGTATGCTCCATTGTACTCCAATTTCAAGCACATCTCCTGATATGAAAAAAATCTGATAATTAATGCCCCATCCAGTTGACTGTGGGGGGAGGATAGGGGGAGGAAAACATTGCCTTTAGCAGAAATATATCTCAATTTCAGGGGGTATATGTAGGGTTGGTGAAGGAAAATAGTTTCTATGGGGGGGGAGAGGAAGATGAAGCAAGGTGATCAAACCATGAGGTCATTACACTTACGTGCTAACAGAAGTTCCTGTTGACTTGGTTTATTTGAAGTGGTTGGTAAAAAAGAGAACTGAATAAGTGCCATCTAAAAAAGACAAAGGAAGAAATGGTTTCATTGAGATCTTGTTCTTCACATTACTCTGGCGGATATTAAGTCCAATAAAACAAGAACTTAAACAACATATTTCTTTGAATATTATACTAAATTTTTGTCAAGAAAACCAACAGAATTTCTACGTAGAAGGCCAACAACTGAAGAAATGTGTTCAGTATTACTATCTGACAAAACCCTCATGATAAAAAGCGAATTCTTGAAAACTTAGACACAATTTGAAGCATTTCTTCCTCACCTTCATTCCAGACATGAGTTTCCCGCATTTTTCAAGATCAGCCGGCTTCTTATTCCACTCTTTAATCAGTGTTTGGTACATGGAGACCACTTCTTTCAAACTGGACGACGCCATCTTGGATTTTTTGCAAAGTCACTGAACCTGCGCCCCTAGTACAATGGATCTGCAGTATTAATAACAATAAATGCGCACATGCGTGCCCGGTTCACGGTCGAGAAGACTGGCACGAGAGTGACAATTTTTGAAAGAAAGAGAAAAAAAGTTGGCTGCATTTTCCCATTTTTGCAATTCCTAGACATGGAAAACGATGTATTAGATGCTCTAGAAGACTTGGGGTACGTATATATATTTGATATATTGATTATTTCTTTACTTACAAGTCGTCTGAAACAATAAGGTTCTGTTGACAATCAAATAGTTTCCTACCTGAAACAGAAAATATTGCATTTTTTTACTGCCTGAAACAACCTTTTAGATTCTTTTCACCTAATGTCATCTGTTCGTTCTTTTTGTTTCTCTTTATGTACACTCTTTTAGCTATAATGGGTCAATGTTAGAAGAAGAAGGTCTTGTCAAAGCTGTGGAGGGTAATGACTTGTCTTTTGACTTCATGTCTCTCTGCGTTTGGATTATAAAGGAATTGAAGAAAGTTTGCAAGCTAGGAGAAACTCTTACAGGTTTGTATTTATACATGAATATATCATAAATAGACAGATAAATATTAAAAACATAATTGCACTAAAAGTTAAGGGGTAAAAGTAAGTGCACAAAATTATATGACCCCCCTGACTGACCCCCAACTATATTTATTCTATACCATTAGGCCATAGTATATGGGTCTTCAGGAAAATGTGTAAACAGTTGTCCATATCTTAATGAAGCTTTTCATTTTTTTCTGCCTCTCTGCAAAGGAGGATTTTCTAATTCTCTTGTATTTGCAGAGACAGAAGACCAGGAGACATTCAAACTAGAAATGAGTGGTCTACTAAATGAATTGGGTAAGTGTTGGTCCACTAAAAAAGTTAATCATTTACATATGAATGAATCAAAAATATTAAAAAATAATCATAAATTTGTTTCTCTTTTAAACACAGGGAACCCACACCCAGATTTATCAGGAGTGAATGGCTTAGACTCTGTTCATAACCGATTGCTTTTGCTTGGTAAGAACTAAGAATTTTCCACTATTATTCTCTTTGATTGGTTTTGCTGTGTTGGATTACACCACTAACACAGGAAACCCACCCTATAGATTTTATGATTCACAGAAAGAAGAGCTACCTACCTTGCTGGTGTATGATGATATAGTTCTCATTTACTGTTACTATAGTTACCATATTGATACCTTACTACATAAATATTAACACTATAGTATTTATTGACAGATTACTTGACGTCAGAGCTCCAGGCATGTAGAATGCTTGGAGGTGTAAGTGAAGGGAAAATGGAGATTGATCATCAGGTAAGGTATAAGTTTGAACATATTAAGGGTATCGTCTGGCCTGTAATCATATTATTTAGAACAACAGTGGGTATTCCATGTTTGGTTTCTCCTTACCCCTACTTCCATAAGGCACAATTTGTTCTACCCCCTCCACTCTTTCTCCCTGTATAAATCCCACACCTCCTGAGGGGAAAAAACGACAAAAGATTATGATTTGAAAGCCTTAAAGACAATTTTGTTTTGGCATTTTCATGCAGGTTATGTGTCCAACTTTACAACAAGTACGGTCAATCCTTTCAGTACTTGAATTACCACCACCAGGAAAAGATGCCACTGTCTTCTCTCTTTTCTCACAAATTGAGAATAAAGTAAGTAGATCGATTAGAAGAAATCGATATCTGCATATTCGTGAATGGACTCATAATTCTTTGTTGTTTTGTTAGGTTCGTCAGATGCTGACAACGTTACCAAAAGATCACCTCGGAGAACCACTGCTAAAGAAAAGACTAAGTGAAAATCAATGGGTTGGTCAAATTTTCATTCATTTTCTCATCATTCCTTTGTTCATCATTTGTTTGCGCATTTGTTTGTTCATTCGTTTGTTCATTTGATTTTTCATTAGTTTGTTCATTTGTTCATTCATGTCACCATTCATTTATTCACTTTTAATTCACAAATCTTTTACTTCTCTACGCAGAGCAAAGTAGAACAAATCAACACTCAACTGAATAGTGAGTACTCCCTCAGGCGTCAAATGTTGCTCAAGAGATTAGATGTGACAGTTCAGTCATTTGGTTGGTCAGAAAAAGCCAAGGTACAATAATCCTTTGACAATATTTTTTTATATACCATAGTGCAGTTTTCGTATGAATGTGAAAAGCTCAGTGCCGTAAGCGTGACGTGCCGTGACCATGATACTTTCTAGAATTTTAATTGGCTGATTTTTTCCATGTGCAAAATGTTTGGTCTAAAAGTGGCGTGACCATGTCCGCACCGTGTTTATGCCGTGTTCCAGGTATTTAATTGGATAGAGAGTAAATTCTCATGCAATGTGATTGGTCTGCATATCCCTTGCTGTGTCACGGCCGTGTTCGTGCCGTGAACTTTTCACAGTCATACGAAAACTGCACTATAAATTAATTTCTTATTACTGATGTGTCTTACATTTTATTCAGACAAAAAAAGATGAAATGATTGCAACATTTCAACCTTTGCGAAAGTCCATGAATTCATTATCAACAGTCAATGTCGCTGATGCAATTGCTTCCAGAACAGGTATAATTGTTGAACTGATTTAAAGGTGCCTCTGTTTGTATTATGATGGTTATACTTAAGAGCTCTATATTAAACCACTGCCTCTTATCCTAAGAAATATGAATTGATTTTTAGTGACTAAAAGGTTCTCTATTTGTACATGCAAGTTTCAATAATTTCATTAACAACCTTTTGTTGCATTTACGAAGATTTGTTGCAACAACCAAGAACAAGTGCTGGTCATGTGCGTGAGAAAACCAAATGTCCTATCAACAGAGTGTTAATGGGAACAGTAAGTACTGGATAGATATACTAGTTGATAAGTAAGCTACCCACAAAGCAAGAGGTCTCTTTGATCTCACCCACCTGTTTTTTGTTTGTCTGGGTTGCATAATTATAAATAAGTAAAAAATATGTGACTAGAGCTTGAGAGCAGGCACTGATGGAGGTGAATTAAGGATGCACTCCTTCAGATCCTTGGAAGAGCTCTTTACTATGAAGCATTATCACAATATTCTAACGGATTTTATGATTCTTTAATTATACTTTTTAAATTTCTTCTGAAGTTGGTTGATAAATCAGTGCAATTTTTTATTGTAAAATTTAAGGTACCAGATCGTGGTGGAAGGCCGTCAACGATGAATCCACCTCCCCCAGAAATGCCGTTTTTCAGGAAAAGGCAGGACGCTCCTAAGGACCAAAGACCTTACAGTGGTCGTGGAGGGGGAGGAGGCGGCAGGGGTGGTAGAGGTGGCAGAGGAAGGGGTAATAAAGTCCAAGGAGGTAAGTCTTATTTTTTTGTTATTTGCTTATCAGTTAATATCACGTTATTTATAACATGATTTTGTTGCTAAGTGCAGATCCAGTTTGTTATTATGTTTACAAATGTATCAACTTTATTTCTAAAATATTCTTGTATTGTCTTTCCCAGGCTGGTCTGGTGGTGGAGGTCAAGGTGGTGGCCACGGCTGGGGAGGAGGTGGAGGGAAAGGTGACAGAGGCAAAAACTTTCTGGGTGGGGATAACAAAGGGTATGGTAAAGATGAATACTATAGTTAAGTGAAATTAAAAATTATTGCTAAAAGGCTGCATTGGTGTTAATGAATTGCTAGGAAAATTATGTAAAAAGAAAACAAAAATAAAAATATTTTTTGAGCCAAGCATTGAAGGATGCATCTGGTTTGTATTAGTAACAGATGTTTGACGTGTGGCTTCGTATAACTCCTTACAGCTGTTCTCAAAAGCATTAAATCTTTACCAAAAAATAAGAAACAGGGCTTGAGGAGCTTATGGAATGAGATATCCAGTTATTACTCTGATCCCCAATTAACCTTAGTTAAAACTCTGGCTTATTTTCTTCATTTGTTGCATGCAATCTTTTGATTGATATCTATTGATGTCACATTTACTACATGCCATTAATCATCAAGAACAACTTGATAACCATCTGGAAAGATCCAAAAGATTGAAATCAATTAAAATCCTATTTAAGTGAAGATAACAATTGTGTGATTCAAGTTGAAAGTTTTTTAGATTCTTGTTTACTGCAATTTTCATGAAACATGCGAACTCTGTGTCTGTGAGCTGCACACTGAAATTTGGTATTTCGCTGCCTGCAGTCAAAAATATGAAAGGTACAGACTGATTAGGTTTGATTGACAGCAGCAAAAAACCAAATTTCAGTGAGCAGCTCACAGACACAGAGTTTTCATGTTTATGAAAATTGCAGTGATTGATTTGTTATAAACTCAACCATCTTTCTCATAAAATCTTTCTTCATTTTTTGTGAAGAAAAAAGGGCTATCATGATGCTTGAAGGTACTACTTTAAAATTAACAGTTTTTAGGAACATTTAAAATCCATTGTCAAATGACAAAGCTTTGAATGATGATGCTTCCAAACAATGAGAAATCATGAATTTTTGATCTTGGGTTTGTGAGAGAGTGCAAACAATTGATCTGTGAAACACTAATTACTAAATAGTACAAAATAGTGCTAATTAAACAATAGAAAACAATGGAATTTGCATGAAATTGTGCTAGTTAGTATTACTAAAGTTTCACGGTTATATTGTTTGCACTTTAACATTGATAGCTTTATACCTTGTATCCACAAAATTCAGAATTTTGGTTTCATTGAGATTTTTTTATTATTTTCTCATTACCCAACACCTTTAAAATATTATCAGTTATATGTCGAGTTAAAAATCTATGATATATTACTATACGAAAATTATGTATAAAGATTACTGACTGCTATGGCATTTTCAATGCACCATACATTGATGATTAGGATTCGTTCACGATATTCTAAAGGTATGAAAAATGTGCAATAGAAACTATTTGGATTCAAGACGAATAGATAAACTGATATACATTTATGAAAATAACTGAAATTTATGACAAAGTTATCAGAATTCTGCTTTCAAATGTTTTGACTTGATGGATATTTATCTCTCTTTCTTTTGAATGTTTCGTTTGTCTTGATCTTTAAAATACTTTACCCTATAGAAAAATAATTCTTTTGCGAAAGCATATAGTCGTATGTCAACAATGTTAAGCTTTTTAAGTCTTTGAATATCTGCAGGTTCGATATCTGTCATGACATCGGCCGCCCGCGTGTCGTCCTCAGCTTTCTGCGCGAATGGTCTAAAGAATTTCACCCCGAACGTTTTTTCGAATAAATACTGGCTTTCTTTTTGGTATTCTGTCAGGCCAAAGTAAGCCATACTTTGAAGGTTGCGCATTGCACTTTTGAGGATAATCTTGTCGCGTTTTTTCGGTCCAATACCCGTAATATTGTAACAATTGACGAGCCTTAGATCAGCAAGCATTCGTGCTTGTCTATTGAAAGCTAAATTTGATTTACACGCTAAAAAATCCTCTACTGTCACCTCTTCCCATGTATCTCCTTCATAACATGGAGGCAGTTCCTTTTTAGTTGGAGTTCTACCATTACATTTATGGGAAGAAGCAGCCCATGTTGTTCCTCTTTGGTAACAGCGGAACTCGCTGAGCACTCGACTAGTAGGTTCTCGTAAGAATGTCACATACAAATACTGTCTTTTTATGTTTAGTCCGTCTCGTTTTTTGACATAATCTGGTACACATGCATGAAGCTCTGTCCAATCTGAATGCAAACCACAAGGCCAGCCCAAAGAGTAACGAGAAAACAGCCAGATTCTTGTAGAATTATGACTTGTGCATTTACAACGTAGTTTGGGTACTTTTCGGCATTTACATGGGTAAGATATGTTTAAATTCTGTACCAAATGCTTCCCAAATGTGGTTCCTCCAGTCTTTTGCATGTGTAGGAAGACCATAACTTGTCGTCGTGTCGGGAAGACGGGAAATCGCTTTATCGAGTCGTTCTTGAATCGGTAGATTCTCAGTTTTCGTTTTCCTGTGGATACAGAACCCAAAGTTCTCGTCGCATAATTGATTTTCCGTAATAAGTTTTTCGTGCCACACGATCGATCAGGGCATATATATGACATAAACAAGAATAAAACCAAAGAAGAACAAACAGCAAGAATGGCTAATTGTGACCATCGAGTAAACACGCTCATCTTGATCTGCGGCCATGTAATACAAGCATTATTTTGATGTTGTTTAGACGCCAGTGGTTTGTTCCAATACACATCTACACAGGGAACCCAATCAAAATCCGTAACTCCATTGTCAAAAGATCAAACACAAACAACCTAAAGTATTTCAATATTTCAGTACGAGGAATTTTTTTCTCGACTAATCTTTAATATCTTATAAAATTTCGAGGTATACCAAACTTTGGTACATTAAATTGCATGAAAACGAAGTCACATATTTAAAATATCATCACATCCGGTCAAGTTACATTTCCGATGTCGATTGACTTTAAAGTGCATATGACACGAAAAAAATTTAATGTTACACCTGGTGTAAAAATGTGTATTTTATTGGCATGAATAAGAAAATCGCAGTTAAATTTGTTTCAAAAACGTATTTCTCCAGAAATTCAAGAAAATTTAGCACAAGTTGTGACGTCATTTTGTTTACAAGTCTCCAGATTAAGTTGCAAATACACGAAATATGTTTCAATGTGGAATCTTAATTTCAGGTAGTGCACTTTTCAGTTTCCCAACATTTGAAGAGTACTACGTAAGCTATCAAATGAAATTGAATAAAATATGCCTTTTGTTGTTATTTTATACGAATTACAATTTATATTTTGTGCATTACTACTGAATCTAGAGTACGTGTCAACAAAATGACGTCACAAATTGATATTAATTTTCTGACATATCTCAAGAAATAAGCTTTTGAAACAAATTTAATTACGGTATATTTATTTTTACTAACAAACTATACATTTTAAACGATGAAATGTTTTCGTGTCATATACACTTTAAAGGAACTAAATGCTCAGGGTTACGACTTTCTTTTAAAACATGTCTATCAAAAACTAAATATAGAAAATAAAACTACATTTTCCTAAAATATCCTTATTTCCGGTTTCTTCAATTTCCGGTTTCTTCAATTTCCGGTTTCTATTGGGAACTGCCATGGAAATAAACGCAGGAATCACAGGAATTTTGAACTTTGATAAGGAGAAATATTTTTGGAAAAAAAACTAATTTAAAACGCTAAAAAGTTTATGTAACCCTCTGTATAAATATTTTAGGAACATTTAAGAGACTTTTTCATATATTAATTATTATTTTCCAAGATGACAAAGAAAGAATAATGGGTGACTATATATGGAAGTTATAGCCTTATTTGGTGAATGACGTAATGTAAGATTTCGCGGGGTAACCACAACAACCAGCAAACCCACGACAACGTCTCAACAACGTTCATTTTACGTTGAAGCGCGACGCAAGGAGGATGTTGGAAATTCTACTCCCTAAAATTCAAAGACTCAGCTGTTTTTAAAACGTCGAGTAAACGTTTGGATACCCATTTCGACGTATACCCAACGTTTGGAATTCAAGCGTTTTCAATAAGTGCTTTGTTAACAAAACCGATGTGTTCAAACCGGCTTTGCTCAAGAAGAAGAAACAAGATGAACACCGAGGGACTACCCGCTCAAGCTTTGAAGAGAAAAAAGACACGGAGACTGAAGAAAAGGAAACCACAGGATGATAAAAGATATGTTGCAATGGAAGTTCCAAACAAGAGGACCAAAGGACAGACGGCAGCTCCCGAAAATACTACACAGTTCCTGATGGACGATCGCGAGAAATTTGAACCATTCAACTTGGACGCTGCGTGTTCGCCATCTTTTTCCCCAGTAAGTTCATGTAGTTGTTCGACATCTTCCGTTCGAGGCAGTCCTGCCAATGATGAAGACTTTGAATCTTTATCCGAATTTGTTGAGGATTTCGATCAGCTGTATTTCGAAAAGGATTTCAACGACTTTTACGACAGTGTTTATGCCGAAACTCTACTTTCGCTCACCAAACAAGAACTCATCACGCGGTATCTAGACTTGGAAAAGAAAGAAGAAGAGTTACTTCAACAAGTTAAAACAATGAGTCCTGAATCGTCGAATGTTTCGCCTATTTGTAACTACGAGTGTTTAAAATCGAACTTCTCACACCAATTTACAAGAAATTCTCTTACGACAGAAAGCGCCAAAAACAAGGAGGCAGAGAAGAAGACTTTGAAATCTCAAGTTCAAGAACTTCGTCTTCTTAACTCTCAGCTTCAGCAAGAAAACCAAAGATTACGAGGCTGCTAGGTCCAGCGATGAGTAAATAGTTAATTATATTTTGTTCTGGTTTCTCGATTTAGAAAAAAAAAAACGTTTTCGAGAAGGTGACGTGGCCGATTGAGAATTTCAAAATGGCGGACAGACATGAAGCGCGTGTTTATTGAAAATTAACAGAAATGTAAAAGAATATCAATTACTAATAGAAAGATTATAGATTGAAACTTTTATTATTTTAAGCAAAAAATTGTTTTTTAAAAATGTTGCTGAAAATCGCAAAAAGAGGTCCAAAGGAGGCGACAAAGAAACTAGATGCGCCCACACATTGTTTAGCTCATTAATATTCATAAGCTAGCTCTTTGGTAATACTATGCAAGACGACTTTAATTTGACTCTATTTTAGTTTGTTTGTAATGAACGATGCAGTATATGATATGTAATTAGCAGACTGTACATCTCATGCTGTCAGTATGATGTTATTTTCAGAGTTAAGTTGCTGATATGCAATCTTGTGGCCCAGAAAACATGTGATCACCAGGTGACAAGGTGTCGCTCCCAGTCTCAAGATCTGAGACCAAACAACACACAAGGTAATGGCCAACTCTTTTTGGGGCTGGTCAGTGTGTGACTATGCCATTTCTGCCTTACTTTAACCTGACATACTAACAATATTAGATTCTGTTGGACAACTTTTTGGTAATTTTTGTAATACTTTGATTAGAGATTTAGTTCAGTAGTTAGACTGAGACAGCATTATAAGGCACTGCGGTAATTTTATTTTTGATTTAACTTTTAAAAATTCACAACGCATGGTTAACGATATTTTGTTAGAGACAGGTATTCATTATTAAAAGCAAAAGTAGAAGTATATCTATGTTTTTATGTATGGATTTAATCTAATAATTGCATCCTTTTGTGTTAAAGTTGTTGGCTTGTAGTGAGGACATGGAACATCACTATGCCACAAGCAACCAAATGATGGTCAAACAATAAGGTATATCTTCCTCATTTGCCTTCCTTACCAGAATCCAGCAAATGAAAGTAACACAGAGGAGGTATTTCAGACATGGGACTTACAGTGCTTTGAAACTTAAATAGTTTATTGAGTGGTGAATGGCAGTCATGTTGTGTGGGTAAAACAAATCCTTGTTTGTGGAATAAAAACTATTTTATTTCACACTATTGTTTCTGTCCCCACAACATGGTTGCTATGACATGCTTCTATTGATACAGAACACATCCACCCACTTATACACGCACAGTTGTACAAAGAGAGTCGTAGTAATGTTATTATTATTGTGATCTTGTGTGGGGTGACATGGGTTTGGGGTTACTAACCATGTATTTTCAGGTTAAGATACCAAAAGGATCCGGATCAAGACTTAGGACACCCCCAAGTAATGGTTTTCATTATTTGAATATTTTTCTCAATAAAATTTAGTTCACACCAATTTTGTCTCAGTGTATTGGTCTTCATAAACCTTGTATCAAACCATTTACGAAAACACTAACATACCAGTATTTGAAGGTTTTTTTCCTATTCTCCAAATGGGCTTGTATCAAGGTATAATGCAATTAAAGAGACAAATATGTTTATAGAACTGTTTTATTTTCAACTCTAATGCAATGTAAAAGCAGAAATTGCTAAGACTACCTTTTGCACAAATCGACTTACTACTACCTTTAATTTAGCACATCACATTAAAATCATACAGAATTTTTAGGACCACCACAATGAAACATTGCAGTTCCAAGTATGATGATTTGACTAAGTTTTAAAAAAATGTTCCTAACCATATTCCTAGCAACAGAATCCAAGCCATCCATACAATACAGTAAATAAGAACCAGCATATTTCCACTGTATGATGGGACTTTAGATTCCAGTAGCAGTTAAAGCTAAAGTGACTGCAATGATTACTAGCTAAGTGAAAACTATGGTATTTTAATGGTACGCGTTTAACAGGCAAATGGGAAAAAAAGAGGGTTCATTAGTATAGTATTTGTTCTCTGGTTATCTCATCTGAAGAATTCCCACTTCCATCAACTTTTGTATTTTCTTCAGGATTTCGGGATTTTTAAGATGTCTGGAAAAAAGAAAAACAATTTAAGTTGAAATGTCTAAAAGTTTTTTTCAAAAATTCTAATTTATAGAAACCTTAACTATTAATGTTAATTTTGAAACTAACATGGCGCACCCCCCACCCCAACGAAAGCTATCGATCTGGTGACTCAATTTTTTCCTATCTTCAAATTGTGGCATGTTCTTTCTCACTCATTGGATTATTGTAGGTTGTTTTTTTTCGGATTGGAAATTTCAGCATGGATCTCCATTTTACACTGGACAGCATGAAAACTATAATGACTTACTCTTGAATAGCTTGAGGGTTGTCTTGCATCTGTTCTATGATAATCTTCATCCCTGGATCAGATAGAATGCTCTATGAAACCAAAAATACAAATAAATTGTTTATTTTGGTTATTGTGATCAAGACTAGTAGAGTTGTAGGTATCATGTTTGACAAATGAATATTCCTAAAATTCACATGTCAAGAATTTTAACTTCATCTTGACCTCATGAATCACATTTCAAAACTAGAGTTGTGCGTCAGTAAACCTGGAATTCACAAATCACACTTTACATTTTGCTATCTTCACTTGACACATTTTGGCCAGAATGACGTGTCACGCTAAACCCTGTACTACAAATATTACATGTGGAAACTAAAGTATGTTTTGCTGGACATCATTCCATGAGCACCTGCCCTTGAAAACTTTGTTTTCTGACAAAATTGGGGAAACACTGATTGATGTCCACCAAAATCCTATCTTAGTGTGACTGCAAATTTTGTGATTCCACATGTGATTGAGGAATACTTTAAAAATTAGAAACAACCAAATTTTACCTGCACTTCTGGATCAGCCATAGCTCGTCTTCTGATCTCATCAGGGTCTGTTGGAGCCCTAGCTGAAGTCAGGATGGCATTTAAGCCATCGCGTGCTTCCTAAATGAACAAGAAAATATTGTCTAGAGTCAATTTTTTTGATTATTGATAAATAGACCTTTCAGCTTGGAAGTAATATTTTGCAGAACATCGATATCTGCCATTTCCTTGAGAATCTTTTTGGAATTGTTTTTTTTGGCTATTACAATAACCCTTACCTTGTTATTAGGGTCAAGTTCCAAGGCCTTTTCGTATGCACTTCTTGCATCAATATATTTCTTAAGAGCAAAAAGTACACCCCCTTTTCTGGTGTATCCCTTCACTAGAAAGTAATGGAAAAATTATTTAAACTCCTGATTACAAATTATTTTGATTCCTTATGAGGCCCCAGCAACAGGCCATTCCAACTACCAATATTTCCAAATTGAGAGCCCTAGTTTGGTTAATAAATTGTTACATACCAAAAGTAGGATCAAGTCTGATGCATTCATCACAGTCCTGTAAAATAGAAAATAATGCCATTATAAAAACTAACACACTCCTGCATAATACATAGACTGAAGACCTGACCAAGAGACCCAGAAATAAGTACACAGGATACAGCGTCAAGTTGTGGGTTTGAGATAAATTGAAATAACAAAACTTCAAATTTCCATCATTTTTTTGTGTTGAAATACAAGGCAAGTGCATCATGGAAAAATCATGACCAAGCCACAACCAGCCTATCACTTCGACTGTTTCTATTATGTATCAAAAGAGCCAGTTAAGAGCTCCCAGTTTTTCTACAAACCTTCTGTGCTAACTCAAAGGCAGCCAGCTTCTGGTAAGTAGCTGCACGGTTACTGTACAGCTTGGCATCTCCTGGGTTTCTTTTGATGGCTTCATTATAACATTTCAGTGCATTTGGAAAATCACCTGCAATATTGCATTCCATGTCAAAATATCATTCTTAAATCCTGCTAAAAACATTTCCTCACAATGATGAATAGTTTTTAGTATGAATATCAATGTATCAAAGGAGCTTCTCTAGAGCATAATTGAAAATTATTTCAAGTTAACACAATCCACCAAGATTATACTCCCTTTGGATGAAAGTGTCATTTTACTATCACTATTAGAATGCTTACTAAATTTCAATTTTTCATTTTTTTCTAGTGAGAATAATAAAACTGACAAAAGGTGTGCAAAGAATTCTGGTAGTTGCAGTACTGGCATATAAAGGGTTATGACACCAATTGCCCTGGTCTGAGGATGATGCAGGCACTAAAGTTAGACATCAATATTGATATTAATGAACCAATCATAACACTGTTGCCTACTAAAGCAAAGGGGTATTTTGCTTTCTTGTGGTAAAAATTAAATAACTATAAAAATACCTGACGTCAATGTTTATACTAGCTGCTATGAGATCAATCAAGGAAAAAACAAGGTTCAATCAGCATTGCAAATGCATTTTCTATTTTAGGGATATATTTCCAATATTACATCTCTTGATGGAACTCGTATGGGGTATAAGGTCTAGCATCAATCTTCTCCATGGCATGGTAAAAATGTTTCTTGACCCACACAATATTACCAACAATGACTTACCCTTTTTGAATAATTTATTTCCTTTCTCTTTTTCCTCTACAGCTTTCACTGGGTCAATATATGCCTCCCTCTCTTTTTCTTTTATTAATTTTTCTACCTGAAGAGGGAAGACATAAAAATTAAGATAAATAAAGCAAGGTTTCAACCCAATAAAGAAACCACTTTCTAATCCGTAAGGTTGAAGATGCACATTCAATCCTTGGAAGAGTAAAATGCTATTGGAATCCTTAGAAATCAAAGGTGGAATAGCAGTAGTGCTCTCAAGATCTGTGAGTTAACCATGCCCTGACAGATCCTGAAGCTCAAATATTGTTTCAGGGTTTGATCTGTGAGTTAGCTGTGCCCTGACTTACATCAGCCCAGATATTGTTTCAGGGTTTGATCTGTGAGTTAGCTGTGCCNTCAGGGTTTGATCTGTGAGTTAGCTGTGCCCTGACTTACATCAGCCCAGATATTGTTTCAGGGTTTGATCTGTGAGTTAGCTGTGCCCTGACTTAGATTAGCCCAGATATTGTTTCGGGCTTTGGTCTGTGAGTTAGCCATGCCCTGACTTAGATCAGCCTTTATATTGTTTCAGGGTTTGATCTGTGAGTTAGCCATGCCCTGACTTAGATAAGCCCATTATTGTTTCAGGGTTTTATCTGTGAGTTAACCATGCCCTGACTTAGCTAGATCAGCCCAGATATTGTTTCAGGGAATGATTGCATTTATGCTTGATCTTTGAGTTGTGTGAAAAGTTCAACTCACATACCTGTTGACATTTCTTTGCAATATCAGGTGAACGGTGCTCAGTAATAGACTTTTGGTAATACTTCAGGGCATCTTCATACTTTTCTTGCTTGAAGTAGGTGTTACCCATCCTAGCAAAGGCTCTGAAAGAAATAACAAACTTTACAAAACAAAGTCACGAAACTTAAATTAAATTTTTAGTGTCAATGGGTAGTTCCAGAAATTATCCATATACTACCACCCCCCCCCCCCCCAAGAGGAATTTGGAATTTCCGAGGGGTAGGATGAGTCAGATGGTATGGTTAACTTCTGGAACTACACAATTCAAAAAAAGTGTCAAAGTTTGCAAATATGCCAACTGGAATGCTAAAGCACAATAAATCAAAGGGGCTAAGCTATCTGTGTTATATTATTTTGTTGTTGTGATATCTTATTTTGTCATCATTCTGAAAACTGAAAACTGCTATAAAAATGCAGAAGCTTGGTTCATTCCTTGAAAACGAAGGAAAAATTGTATTCTCTATTAACTGATGCCCAAGGCTTGTTTTTATTGTTTGTTTCTGTTTGAACTATAATGCTTTTCACTGAAAACTTTGGCCAGTTTTTGTGTTAGTTATGACATTTTTAAGCAACCCTGTATGTTTTCTTTGACAAATTCGCTTTTTGAGCCCTGTCAACCATGCAAAACCCATGGCAGCAAATGTAATTCACTAAATGTCATACATACTTGGCAATTTGTATGTAGTCTGCTTTATTTTCACGTCCAACTTGCACTGCTGTCTCGCACTCCTTTAAACATTCTTCAAATTTGCGTTCCTCAAAAAATACAGCTGAAAAGGAAGGGTTACTCTTGATAAGGAATTGTGTTAATGAACCAAGTTATGGACCATTCTGTTTGGTCCATTTTAAATGATAAAACATTACCAAATAACAATAGACCCCTTGCACAAGACGTCAAAGCAGCTCTGGGGTTCAAAACAAAAGAATCCCATTCTCTTGAGAATATTGAAATCTCTTATGATGTTCATGTTTTCATTGTTTTGATCCCCAGGTAGGGATTTAGTGCAAGGGGTCTATCTATAGTAACAAGAATGTACATATATTTTAATGTTCTACAGACCTTCACTGAAGACATGAATATTCAAATCAAGATCAAGAATAACCCCCAGCAAAAGAGAATTAGAAGCTCAAGTTTTGTTATCATTTTCTCATTTTTCTATTTCCCATTCATCTTTTCGTTCATACATACCCGCATTGTTTGTGTAAAATGTAATATTCGTTGGATCTAATTCTTTGGCTTTGTCGTAGTGTTGATGTGCTGTTTCAAAATCTTTCTTTTTGTATGCTGCATTTCCAAGTTCTTTCTCTGCCAAAGCCTTAAACATCCAAATTAAATTACCACAGTTAGTTTGCATTTTTCATAGACAAACATATATTTTTTGTTTCAAGTTCAAGTTCATAATATGAATTAAAAAATTATATGTTTACAAATTTATCAGCCTTCTGCAAATAGTAAAAACTAATATAGACAGGAAATGATATACTGTATTACATTGTCAAGCAATATTCAAAGTTTTGTTTGGTACTGCTATTTTCATAAACATGCAAACTCTTTAAAGCCGGGAAAAAGGATTAATAATATCTAAAATTTGATTTTTCACTGTCGCACTCGAAAATATAAAAGGTATCATCAAAAATATGAAGGGTACCCACTGATTAGTTTTGACTGATGGAAGAGAAAAACTAACATTCTGTGTGCAGCTAAACTAAAATTCAGTGTGCAGCTTGCAACTAGCAAGTTTGCATGTTCATGAAAAATGTAGTAATATGTCATCACTAACATCAAATCCAAGAAGCAGATATAGGATTTTGAAAAGAGAGAGGGTCACATTGATCACAACGATAAAATACAATTTGTGCTACCTTTTTAAAATTCTATATTCAAATTTTTGAACATCTAACTTTTAGATTGAAGTAGTTCCTTAACAATGCAATATATATGATAAAATTTTATTCTAACCTGCTTTTTATTATCATCAAGTTCTGAATCAGTCTCCATCTTCTCTGGCTTTTCTTCTTTTTCTTCTTTTTCTTTCTTTTCTGGTTTTTCTTGTTTTGCAGGAGGTTCATAAGATTCTGGATTTAAAAAAATGAAGCAGCATGTACACCGAATCGAAATATAGCAACTAATTTGAATAAATGACCAATTATCCCTTTAACCTTCAGTGTGCTCTTACTACTATTAAAACAATGCAGTACCTTGTTCTGGATCAGGCATGTTCACGCCAATCAATATTCCCAGCGTTTGAATGATTCTTGGGTCTTGGAGTAATCCACTATAAAACAAAGATTTGCATTATTCATGCAATGTAGCAAGTTTCCCTCATTAATATATCTTCTCGAGTTTTGTACGAGAATAATTTTTTTCATTTAAATCTTATCTTTATCAATGATAAACAAAAAAGATACGAGGGAAAGGCATGATCTGAAATGGGGAAAAAGGGTCTAAAGGATCAACTAATATTTTCACCAAATTAATATTCATTTTAGCTTTTTTATAGTTTAGCTTTATGAGAAGGCCCCGGCTGAGATTCTTTAACCTTCTGGGACCAGTTTTACGAAGGGTGGATAATGCTATCCGACAGATAAATTTTATCCAGTGGATAAATTTATTGGATAACAGCATGGACTTATCCACTGGATAAGGATTTATCTCCCGGGATGGGGGTGGGGGTACTCCCCTAAATTTGCTATTTGGGTAAGTGCAGCCAAACAGGTTATGGTTTTCAGCGATTCTACCCTGGAACAGGGTATATAAAATCGCTCTTGCTCTGGAACAGGGTATATGAAATCATCATGCTCTCTCCTCTCTGGAACAGGGTATCCATTTTCGCAATACTGGAACAGGGTATGATTTTCAGCAATCTTGCTCTGGAACAGGGTAAGAATTTCAGAGATTTTACTCTGGAACAGAATCAGGGTTCAGTGGGCTCAGCGGCACAACCCTACCCTAAATGGGCAAGAGTACCCCCCACCCCTGGGATTTATCTGTGGGATAGTGCTATCCACCCTTCATACAACTGGGCCATGAAAATAAAGTTGTACATGTATTGTTATTGAATTACCTATTCAAAGCGTTAGGATTCTGTTTTAACTGCTCAAGTATCTGTACAAAGTCTGGTTGGTTCAAGTACTCTCTAGTCTTTGGATTGGCATGTAACATTGCATATAAATTGGGATTCCTAAACGGGTTACCCACGGTGGTTTCAGCAAATTTTGATTGCACTTCTTCTAATCCAGCCTTGAGCTGAGCGTTATTGGGTTCCAGCTTAAGACCAGCTTCAAATGCCTTCTCTGCTGCCTCATACTGTTTGAGGAAGAACAATGCTGTACCAAGTCGAGAATAACCCTAAAATTCATAAACAATGACATTCACACAGTTAATCAAAATTAAATTAAGGAGAAAAAAATCATTATTCTTAATTTGCATGCAACATCATCATGGCCATCTTGGAGATATTTATTACTATTGTTACTGTAAGCGCCGTACTGTTAACACTTCTACAAGTTTTTGATTCCTTTTTGACATCTTTTTGACAAGTTGTAATCGCTACCCAATTAGACATCAGCGTGCCACTTTGATGTTTCAAAAGGCGGAGTTTGTGGCATTGATGTAACGATATCGAAACATCAAAGTAAAGTGCCAAAACATTATTGGTTAAAACTTGTCAAAAAGTTGTCAAAAAGAAATTAATAACTTGTAGAAGTGTTCACGGTTCGGCACAGTAATACTAACAACATGGCTGACATGACTTTTTTCACATGACTCTCTTGGGAATGCTTGCAAACCATCAATACAAATAAGCCAACACTCCAGAACTCTGTATAATAAAGTTTAATCACCTTATAATTAACTCATTTACCTCTTGATACTGTAAAACTATATGAAATGTTTCCATGGCAACTTGTGTCCCCCCCAGTTACTATCATGACCCACCCCCACCCCACCCCTTCTAATCTAGCCATCGACAATGAACATACTGACGAACGTACAAAATGATTAATACTAGGGGAAGAGGGGGGGGGGGGCCTCCGGCGTCAGGTACAGCTTTATTTGGGGTTAATGAAAGTTGATATCTTACTCCGAATGATTTGATGAGACGACATGCAAGAGAAGCTCAATGGTCGGCATAATTGTACAAAAACTCATGCGGGGAAAAAGAATGTAATTTCAAATACCGTAAACACTTTCTTTACCTTAGCCCATTCAGGTTTAATTTCTACGCATTTTTTCGCGTCTTCCAGCGCCTGCTCATATTTGCCGTCTTTAGCATAAGCGGCTGATCTATTGCTGTAAAATACATGGTTGGTTGGCTCGATGAGAATAGCTTCTGTATAACACTCTATAGCCTTGGTTGTGTTACCTTCCTGCAAGGCTTTATTGCCCTCGTCTTTAAGTCGAGCAGCCTAAGGGTTAATAGATAAATTTAGTGAGTATTTAAAAGCGAAAATATCGATCAAAGAATTAAATTTTCTCCATCGTACCTTTTCGTCCGCCATCTTTGACGTCCAATGACACGTGCGTTTTGAGCATGCGTTTTCTCTTACTACACAGGGAGCCCAGTATTCGCTTTAAAGTTCGCCGATTCGCCGATTCGGGTGTGGAGAGGGGGGGGNGGGAGGGGCGGGGGGAGGTTGGGGGAAGCCGAAAGAGCCACTACACAGGCTAATACATAAATTCATATACAACATTACGAATCTACGAAAAGAAAATATTAACGATACACAATAATCAAATGGAAAAACATTGTAAATAATCAGTGTACAAATCTTAATAATGTATATTATTTGGGTAACCTTTAATGTACGTTAGCGTGCAGGATGCCAAATAAAACTTACTTACTACATAATTAATTGGTAATGACTCATCGATAACGTGATTATGTCATTAGGAGTCTAATTCTAAACGATTTTTAATTAAAACTTTTCAATGGATTCTTGACGTCCGGAGTAGGATGTCGTAAGATATGATTCACTAAAAGTATGGACTTCTGGCTGTGAGAGTTATTGATCATCACGAAGATTACCATGGCAACGTATTTTCCCTAATGAAATTTAGGTCAATTCAGAGCAAAACTAATCAAGCTTTGGCTCTAGATCCTTTCTCTTCTCCCCATCATTACTACCGCTACTTTAGTTAAGTTCCTGGTATGAATCATGAAGCTATGTTATAATAAATGCAACTCACATCGCTTGATTTTTCAGAAGTAAACTGACAAAATCCCTAATTTAATACAGCAATCAATTGCAGAATTTGTTTTCACTGTGAATTCAATAAGGAAATTAGGATGCCCGACTAGACTCTACACTGATGATATTCAATAAAAATCAACAGCAACAGTTTCATTAATATACGTCATATTCTTTTCTGATCGTGTTTTAGACAGCTGTATTGAATGATTTCCGCATTGTTATTACCGTCTACCATTTTAAGAAACCTTTTTCATTAAAAATGGTATTATTTTTTTGGTTTTGATAACGATCCAACAGCAATACTGATATAACTGGCTAGATATTGTGAAATTTCGAACGAACAAACTGTCAATGTTTTCTTCGTGAATTAACTTTTCCTCATTATCTTAAAAGGTATTAATATGATATGAAGAATTTTAATTTCACATTTAATGTTTCTGTTTAATATTAATGAATTGCGGTTAAGCTACTTGGCTTCGCGCTCGAAAATTGTAGCGCACCATCTCTATTTTACTTAGTATTTGGTATACGAATATCCGGCTCAGAGAGTAAGTCATACATTATATTTTTGAGATACTAAATCATATTTTTAACATTTTCCTTGGAGAAGACCTGACGCAGTATTGATTGCAGTATATTGCAGTGGATGGTTATAATTAACGAAAAAGAGGTACTCAGATTTACTTATTTAGGACTTATGATATACACCTCACCCCTAGCGGCTATACAATATATTAATATGCGATAAGGAAAAAAATATACGATTAACGAAGACGCAGGAAAAGAAAACTAGTGAATTGAACATCACTGATTAGGAAACATCAAACACGGCGATTAGGGCGTTTTTATCAAAAGAAAAACTAAATTTTCGATAGCCCACGAAATAAGAAGACTACGAAAAAAGATAGCATCAGTAGAATAGTTGTAAACGCGATATGGCGATACTGAATGATTCATACAGCCCATTGGAAACAGATGTTCAGTATCTTCATCTAAAAACTGGTTACCAGTTCAATACTCTCGCATGACTTATTGATTTGTTTAGGTGCTATCGTTGAGAGGGTTAACCAACGTCTTAAAAAACAGAATTGGTATTGACAAGATAGATATCAACAAACACACTAAAGATGAAGGTTTGTCCAGAATTGTCACAGGTAACCATGGCCAGACTATGCATTAATAGGAAAAATATTCTGACAATTATTTGCTAAACACACAAAAGTAATTCCGTTAAAAGACCATCTCGATTTTACTTATTTTTTCATGTCTAAAAATGTCTTCTTTTTATCGAAATTTTTAGTAGAGAAAAAGAAAATGATGCCTGGAAACAAGGGTGTTTTTTGGTGATATCAATTGTGGTTCATTTTCACTTGCAGATGTTTTTCCTATTTTTAATCTTCATATCACTCTCAAGAGTCCAATCTACAAACATTTCATCGCCAGGTCAGCAAATACTAGAGTAAATTTAATAGAGAAGTCAAAGTTTCCGAGTCGAAAATCTCGCTTTTTAGGAAAGTGAAAGAAAGCTAGTAGCATGATATAGAACCTGAACACTCTTCCTGCGCTCTTTGCAAAGGTAATTTGGAACTCGAAAATAACAAGGTGTTAAAAAAGGTCTCTATAATTGCAAGCTCACCGTTCGTCTCGCTTCGATGCAAAGGCGCCGCTACCCTTCAATATGGCGCAATGACCTGTGAAGGGGACTATTGAAAATATTCAAACATAGGTTGATCTTCAATATTGATATTGCAGATTGCGAGTTGGTTACTCAAATTTATTTTATACTAATGCAAGTAATAGGGCAACTTTATGTTATTTTCAGTTTGTTTTATTTGTACATATTTTCAAATATATAGTGCATGTTTGCGCTCTACCTTAATGAAACATATAAATGATTTCTCTACTATTTTAAAGGATGTTCAGAGAGAGGAGTCCAAATCACAAGTAGACAAGGCAGGATAACTTCTCCTAATTATCCAAACTTCTACCCACCAAATATAAGATGTATTTGGAACATCACGGTACCAGCTGGTTACGTCGTCCGCTTGACGATAGTATTGAGAGTGCTTAGTTTCAATTATTACTTTTGCGAAGGAGCAGGTGTATATATCCAGGACGGGCCATCTTTGTCGCAGAGCCCTGTTTTGCTTAAAGCCTGTAGATCTTGGACCAGTACTACCTTGTATTCATCTTCTCGTCATCTTCTTTTGACGTTCAAGTCAGATAACGCTCAATCAAATGGCTTTCTAGCACATTTTATAGCTCATTCTGACGACCAAAGTAAGTACTAGATTGAGATGGTATGGAGATGATGATGACTCTGTGCTGTTAGTGATGATGATAGTCATGATGGTTTGATGTTATCTATAATGATGTGGGTGTTAAAGGGGGTGATGATGATGTGGATGATGATGGTGATGATGAAGATGATGGTGGTGATAACAGAAAATGTCAATGATGATGATGGTGGTAATAACAGAGGATGATGATGATGGTGGTGAAAATGGAGACTGATGGTGATGATGATGGCTGATGGTCGGTGATAGTGGGGATGGTGACTCTTATTGCTACATTTTTCCCGTGCGCATTTTTCGCCTTTGTATTCAGACCTTAAATATGTACATAATTTATACTAAATTAAGTTCACTTCAGTTCAATAAGTAATTTTCAGTTCAACGTTGACCATCTTAGGCCCCGTCCACACGTATCCGCAAATGTTTGTGTCCGTATCCGCAAATTTTACGATTCTACGAAAACGATTCGAATACGCTGCGTGTGGACGCAAACATTTTCGTATCCGCAAAAAATAATTTGCGGATACAAAAATTTCCGGATACGTGTTGACGGGGCCTTAAGCTACACATCTTTTTGTAATTAATTATTGCTATTTTTTTTGCTTTCCGTTTGCATTAATCGTTTTCTGTTCTATCGTTAAATTATAATCTTTCCTTTACTAATAGGAACTCTAACGTCATCTAATAAACGTAAACGATGAGTAAAACGTCTGTACTTTTTAACCGCCATTTTTCTTTTGGTAGTTATCATGATCATTACCACCACCACCATCCTTATCGTCGTCGTCATCAGTCGCCATCATCATTGATAGAAGACTTAACTAAACGTCTTCCTTTTTTTTCATGCACCTTCTTTTCTTTTTTCATACAGGATGTGCTGCCAATACTACAAGCCTTGCGGCCACTAATCAAACCAGAAGTTTACAAACACCATATTTTCCCGCCTTTTACCCTGCGAACCTATTATGCACATGGCTGATCACCGCCCCACCTGACCATGTCGTGGTTTTACATTTCAAACTGTTTAACTTGGAAAATACTTTCGATTGTGAAGACGACTATTTCTTGGTAAGAGATGGCCCGAACTCTACCAGTCCTGTGCTGGTCAAATTATGTGGAGCTGCAAGATTCTGTCCTGTGAGCTCAAGCGGACGATACATGTGGATACAGTTCATATCTGGTGAAAGATGGGTGTTCCCAGGTATAAATGTCACCTATACAGCAGTATCCAAAGGTAAAGATAAAGTTCAAGTTTGAATATCTATCTAGATGTCAAATCCCTCCCCCTACCCTCCCTACAACTGAACAAAAACAAACAAAAAAATGAGATTGCTTTTAAAATAATTCACCGAATTTCACCTGTGATTCAATAGAATTGATGAATGGAAATCCTGGTCCAGTTGCATTATGGGAAAATAACACAACAATAAAAGCTTCGAATGACTATCGTCAAAAAGTTGCTCCATCCGCCTGCATTTGGAACATTTCCGTCCCACATGGACAGGTTATCAGCTTCCGTATAACAGTAACAAACACATATTCCACACAGCCCACTATTTGCATAATTGGATACGTGGATGTCATAGATGGCCCAAACCTGACTAGTCCAAGGATCAAACGAGTGTGCAATGGACTGGTGGAGAACCCAGTTCACGTGACATCTAGTGGCAGCCACGTGGTTGTACGATTTGTATCTAGCCAAACTGGGGCCAGAATGGATTTCCAAGCGAGTACGTTCAAGGAACTTGAGACAGACCATTTTGGTAAGTCAGTACACAGGGAATCCAGTTTATGGCAAGGCCTGAACGTTAGTTTGGATGAACTTTTATGGGTTAATTATAAGTGCCGCAATATATGGCAAACTATTGCATTTAGTTTATGCCCCTATAAGTCCAGTATAAGAAATCAATGAATGCATTAATACAAAGTGATTGCGATGCCTTGCTGTTTTCGTTAAAACCCGTTCAATAATATACTAAGCATTCATGCTTTTCTTCTCTGAAGTCTCAAAAATACGCATGAAGATATGACTTCTATTGCTTTTCTTCAGGCTGTTCGTCTTCCATACCAGTGAACGTCACTTCAGACGACGAAAACATCACCAGTCCTTTTCACCCGCAATATTACCCCAATAACCAACAATGCCAATGGCGGATCACAGCCCCAAAAAACTACCATATAATATTAAGATTCCAAGAATTCGACTTGGCTCAACCAGGTGACTTTGTAGAGATCCGTGATGGATTAAACGCAAGTGCTGCCTTGATGGGAAACTTTGTAAGAGACCCTGGGTTCACGAAGTCTTTGGCTTCTACTGGACGCTTCTTGTGGGTTCGCTTCAAGTCAAACCACGAAAATGTAGCCACTGGATTCGTGTTGAGTTTTAAGTTTGTGCCTTCTCTTGTTGGTAGGTGCTTCTACATCTCCAATGTTTTGTTCCATTGAAATACTATTTCAACCCAAACATTTATTCACTCACACATACACCAACACACCCATCCATGCGTCTATCCACCATCCCATTACTAAACTACACAAACATCCACCGAGTCATTTATTCGTCCATCCACCCGCCCACCCAGTTACACTTCCGTCCATCCACACATCCAACCATTCATGCATACCTCTATTACTTAACTACCCCACCATCATTTCATCCATCCACCCACCCATTCAACCAGCAATTTAACCACCCACCCACCAAGGCCATCCACCCGCCCGTCCACCCATCCATTATTTCCTATTTATTTATACTACTACACTATTTATTTTTCTTTTCGCGCAGCCCTAAAGAACATAACATTGGTCGTGTCTAACAGCTCACCTAAAAACCAACAACCAAACAATGTTATTACCATCATTGGAGCAGCACTGGGAAGCTGTGTTCTCATTGTGATAGCTTCAATTCTATTTGTGTTGGTTAGAAAAAAGAAAAAAGAGATTCTTGCAAGGTAATTTTGATCCGCAAAGGTTGTAAATCGACGAGTATCACACGAGCAAATCAAAAACTCTCGAATACAGGCGCCAAAGGGACAGAGCCTGTAATTGTTCGTTTTTAGAGAGGTACAATAAGTACTGCAGAAATCAAAGAAAGTGTCTGTATTAGAGAGTGGCGTTGTACAGTATTCCGTACCTGGAGGTTGGACCACCTTAAGGGTAGGAAATTAGTAATCCTGTTTCAAAGGTATCTCCTCCTATATCGAAAAAGTAAAAAAAAATATTTCAAATCCTCTCATTTTCTAACTCTTTTCCCTCTTTTGATAGTGGGGTAGTAAACAATCATCGCAGATCAATTTATTGACTTTCCAGAAAACTGGCTGTTAGCTATATTGCTGAACCCTGGGAAATCAGGCCTGGGCAAGTGACGCTGACGTCTGAGCTTGGCCATGGAGCGTTCGGGAAAGTATGGAAAGGTGAAATAGAAGCTGGTTTAATACGAGAACTAAAGACAAGAGTGACAGAAGAAGAAAAACCGCCCAAACATAAGGAAGTGGGAACCACAAGAGAAAATGTAGAGACTGTCACTGTTGCCGTAAAGGTGTTGCATGGTAAGTTTTCTGCTCCTCATGCACTCTTAATGAAATAGAAAACGCGCACGCGTGCTGTATGCAGTTATAAAGCACGCGGGGGTTGTCAGAACACGAGAGAAGTGTTAGGAGACACTTCTCGAGTGTTCTGCCAATCCCCATGTGCTTTATAACTCCACACAGCACAGCAAGCAAGTTTTTTAGTTCTTTCATAAGATGCAAAAGGCGCGTGCGTGCTGTGTGCTTTTATAAAGCACGCGCTCCCAAGCAATCAGAATGCGAGATTTATGATATTCTTTATTCTGACGTAGGGTAATGTGATGTAGTGATGTAGTCGTTGTGAATGTGTTGCATCATAAAATGTTTTCCAAGTTGTCTGCCTGTCACGTGACCTCGAGGTCTAAGATAAACGAAAGCTTTCCTGGTAGTGAAAGCGTCTAATGGACAGCCTTAAAAACACCGTCATTTAGCTCACTAGGACATTTTTACCTCGCAGATGCTACTTCCGATGCACGTGGCGAATTCCTACGCGAAATCGAGCTGATGAAGATCGTTGGTTTCCATAGAAACATAGTCAGCATGCTGGCTTGTTGTACTAAGGAAGAACAGGTTTTTCTGGTTGTAGAGTACGCGATGCACGGAGACCTGCTGAATTTTTTAAGACAAAAGAGAGACAAGGTAAAACCGATATTTTTTGCAATTTCTTTTCGATTGTTCTTTGCATCACCAACTGTGTGTTGGATTTCAGTCCTTTTTCCAGAATACCTCGAAGGAAGAAATGATGTATGAAAACAGCGAACAACTTCAAAAAGTGGAAACCTTTCTAAAGGAATTTCTTTCATTTTCTTGGCAAATAGCACAAGGAATGGCAAGTGCAATATATGATCAATTAACTTTATTCGTGCTGATATTTTCTTCTCCGTCATATTCCTTTACACCATGAACCAATCACTTTTTGTGTTTTACAAATCATTGATTTAGGAATACCTAGCGTCCAAAGGTCTCGTTCATCGTGACCTGGCAGCTCGTAATATTCTCTTAGCACAAGATGATCTGATCAAAGTCGCTGATTTTGGCCTGTCCCGTCACGTGACCTACGAGAAAGAAGCTTATAGGGCAAATGGACCACGTAAGCTGCCAATCAAATGGATGTCACCAGAAGCTATTTATGACCAAACATTTACGACTAAAAGTGATGTGTAAGTATTGGCATTCCGAGATCGAGGAAAAAAACTGGGGCGAGTTGGAATCGCAGTGCATTGTGGGACGAAGTAGACGCCATCTTGAAAATGTTCCCTAAAACAGCTTCACAATAGACTGCAATACCAACTCGACCCAGTTTTCCTCTAAACCTCGGAATGGCCGACAAGAATTCCTATCCTCACCTCAGACAATCCTTTAACATACCCCTCCATCTCTTGCTCGGAAATAACTTGTTCTTATTCAAAAATAGGTGGTCATATGGAGTAGTTCTGTGGGAAATATATAGTATAGGTAAGCATTAGACATTATGAATACGGATGTAGAATAACAAACTAACTATAGTGTTGCCTGTTATTCAGGGGGTACACCATACCCTACGATTAGTAACTGACTATAGTGTTGCCTGTTATTCAGGGGGTACACCATACCTTACGATTGGTAGCTGACTATAGTGTTGCCTGTTATTCAGGGGGTACACAATACCCTACGATTAGTGACTGACTATAGTGTTGCCTGTTATTCAGGGGGTACACCATACCCTACGATTAGTGACTGTCTATAGTGTTGCCTGTTATTCAGGGGGTACACAATACCCTACGATTAGTGACTGACTATAGTGTTGTCTGTCATTCAGGGGGTTCACCATACCCTACGATTAGTAACCGACAACTAGTGAAGGAGCTAAGAAATGGATACAGAATGGAGAAGCCCAGTTTGTGTGGCGATGACATGTAAGTATTTAAGTACTGGTAGTTCCAGCCAATCACGAGAAAGGTAATGTTATTATTATGACTGAAAGAATCGGGAGTTGTGCTCGCGAAGGATTGTTGTTAATACTTCATATCCATTTTTGATTCAGATATAAAATCATGACGGATTGTTGGCAAGAAAATCCAGAGGATCGACCATCGTTCACCAAGATCAAACAAGACATTGAAGAACTCATGACTCGAGATAACCCTTACCTCGAAGTGCAAGGAATAGACCAGAGTAACTGTTGTTATCTTGTGCCATCTTTTAACAGTGACATATCAGAAACAGAGGACTCTATTGAGATGTAGACAGCGAAACCTTGGATAGAAATTTCATTGGATAAGCAGTCACTATAGCCGGCGTGCTATGATTGGTTAAAAGGATCTTGTATGGCAATCACATGTCATGCTCATGTTACGACTGTGCGGCGTGTGCCGTGAATGTTCCGCTACTATACGCTCCTAAAAATAAGGTCTTTGTTTGGCGTTCGAGGTTAAATATAGGTTAAGTCAAGTCCAGTAGATATGCAATGCATTTGATTTATGTCATTTCGAGAGCCTATGTTCCTTATGGTCAGCATCTCTCCTTCCGGTGCTGACCATGGGGATTGCGGACATGCATTCAAGATTACCTAGAGACTGAAAGCCGTATTTTCCTTTAGGCTCTACTAACCCACGCGATTGAGACTAAAAAAAAAACCAAAGGCATTTGGCAGCCCAGTAAATATCGCTGTCTTCGGCTCTCGTTTAAGATATGCGCTAATATGAACATAAGGAAGAAAGCTCGATATAAGAAATTTTGTTGAAGAACACTGTTAAAACCATTCGTAAACCTCTAAAATCAAATTAAAATTAAAATAAGGTGAAAATAGATATTGCCTGATGTAGAGTTTTCAACACATTAACAATAAAAATCAACAATGATAAACAAGTGTATTGTATTGGTGCAAATCATTTTCAAGATCTATATTCAATTCAAACTGAATCTGTGTTCTTTTCCAACGTAAATCTGATAAATCTCTCTCAGAATTTACCGCCGAATGTTTTTAAACTTATTTGTTTATCTATTTGTCAGGACTGAAGCATTTAGTTTGGAAAATAAAGTTCAGTTTTCGCAAACAGTTTTTCACAACTGCAAAAACCTTTCAGCGATATGTTTAGAAAATAACAAGACAAAATCTTGAAGAAAACGAGTTTGAAATTAAAACTTTTATTTCTAATAACATTCGAAAGTCTATGAGCGAAAATAAAGTTATGTTATTTTTTTGGAATGAGCAGTTTCCTCAGATCCGTTATTTTCAGTAAACATGGCTGAAATAGGCGAACATTACGAGATCATGATTTCAAATTGTTTACAATTTTCAACAAATGAAGGGCGCGAGCGTTTATTCTTTACTTGATTATCTATCGATCTTTTTCATTACTTTACAAAAGAGAAAATGAAATAAAGACGTGTAATTAGTAAACAATGAGTTTGTTTTTCTGGAGTTAAACCCTGTTAGTAGCTGGCTTTCAAGAGAGAGAACTCGAGTGTTTATGTTCGTCTTACAAGACGCATGGAGGCAAAACTTTTTGAGTTGAGCCAGTGTAAAATACGATATCTAAGTTTTTCAGATAATACTTTTTTTAAAGGAATAAGATTTTCTTCGATGTACTACTTCTTCATGTCACATATTCTCGCAAGCGATGCTAAAGATTCTCCCAACCTGTGAATGTCATATCAGCAGATTTTGTATTTATGAGTTTTTCGAGTTTTATTGAAGCTTACACTCTCGAGACACCCAAATGGCTTCCTCTCTAAGCCAATCATATATCAAGAAATCTCACTCATCCAATCACAATGCTTGAATACAGCGCACGCCTGTTCTAAGGAGATTATCAATTTCAATCACGCTAAATTCCTATTGGTTCACTCTGATTTCAAAAGCATCTCGGGAAATATCTGAGTGAGACAAAAATAAGCGCACCAAGTTTGGTTTTTCGTCTTGGCTTTCTCAAGGACAGAATAAAGACAAAGTGACAATCATGGGTGATAAAAGTGAACGTACGCTTGTGATGGTCAAACCTGATGGGGTTCAACGAGCTCTTGTTGGGGAAATCATCCGTCGCTTCGAGCAGAAGGGATTCAAACTTGTTGGCATGAAATTCAAAAAGGTTTGAGTTAAGTCCACTTCTTAGTTAATCAGCTATAAATCAAATCATATATTGACAGGTAATTCAAACAGCAGGGCTGGGCAACTATAAACCCTCTTTACGGCTTGGAATTGTGAAAAACGGTTCAGCCTATTCACTTAAGTACGACAGGTTAAACAGGTTACATATGATTCTGTTCCTCTGTATTGGAACACATGCACAGAGTGGGGTTACCATTCAAAAGCCGGCGACTTCCCAGTCTCCGTGAATTGATTCCTAAAGTCAGCTTTTGAAAAACAATATAGTTTTAAGTGCGCCTTTTATGTCGACTGAACAAAGCCCGAAATTTAACAGATTATTTTAGAAAAACTGGGACGAAAATTTCAACAATAATCACAGAAAAGAAAGTTTGTCATAACATGCCCCGCTGCGCAATTAAAGGTCGCACCCTACAGAAAAAAAAGAGCAAGAGCGAGTGAATCAGTGTAGCTTTAACATGCTGGAGTTTCCCGTTCTGGTTCCATTAAACATTGATACGCCATGTATTCCATTGTGTTTTGCCTTGAATAGCAAACTGAAGATCATTACAAGCAGCAATACAAGCATCTCAGCTCCAAGCCATTCTATGCTGGTCTGTGCAAGTTCATGTCGACTGGACCTGTTGTCGCTGTGGTATGTTTGTCTGTCTTTCTGTATTTCCTTTCAATTCATGCCATGATGTTCTTGCGTTTCATTGTCATCATGTCATTTCATTGTACAGATTGCATGTTTTTTAAAAATCTGTCTCTCCTCTCTTTGTATTTATCATGGTTTACCATGCCTTGACCTTCTTACCTATTTACTACCGTGGTATTTTTATGTTCTGGTCTCATTGTGAAGTGTGCTTGGTCTATGACTGTCTATATCCGTCTTTTCTCTCTTTATTTACCATGCGTTACCATGTTATACCATGTGTTATCATACTATGCATGGTTTATCTTTGTATTTTATCGTGCAGAGTAGACACTGACTGATTTGTGTGCCTTTTAACAGGTTTTGGAAGGCCAAGGAGTGATAAAGACTATCCGAAGCATGATGGGTGAAACAGACCCTGTAAGTATCCGGCGCGTTATTTACATAGACTAACCACACCTTAAAATGAAAATCAATTCCACTCGTGATCTCACACTCTTGTTTCGACTTTTCTCTAATCCGCGTAGCTTAGGGGTAAAGTGCCCACCATCAGCTCCCTGGAAGACCAGTTACTAGCCGAAGGAACACTTTATACGGAGCGCAAGGACTGATGAACGTCATATGATCTCAAGAATGCCCGTCCAATAAACCTACACCTTTCGAAATCATTCTCGGTGATTTCATCAAAATACTGTTGTTTTTTTTCTTCAGGCCGACTCTAAAGCAGGAACCATCAGAGGCGACTATTCGGTTTCCATTTCAAGGTAATCACCAAAATAAATCGTGCCGCCCAAAAGTTTTTGGTGACACGCTGTTATTTTGCTAACCCGATTTGACCCCCGCCTCTGAAAAAAACTACTGTTTTGAACCACAACAACAAAAATGCCCATTATCTATCCTAGCCATTTGGTAAACTTCATGTTGCCAAATACAATATAGTGACTCTAAACAAAAAGTAGAAAAACCAGCACTTGTTTTATGATCTATTCATTTCTAATAACGATATCTTTTGTAATTCAAAGGAACGTCTTACACGCCAGTGATTCGCTAGAAACTGCAAAGCGGGAGATTCCCATGTGGTTTGATGCCTCGGAGATCTTTGATTGGTCAGGCAATGCATGGGTCTACGAGTAAACGAGATGATTACTTACCGGATGCTTACCGGAATGTGATATTGTGAAATTGGATTCAAAGGAATATTAAACGCTTTATTGGTTTACTAATCGCGTGGTTGATTAGGGAATAAAAATAGGAACGGGAAAGGAAGAGAGGTGAAAGGAAAATGAGAAAGAAATGAGATAAAAACAAAAATGGGAAAAATTGGTTTCAAAGGAATATTAAGAGAATGGTATTGGGAAAGAAATAGAGGAGATGGGAAAAGAGAAAGGAATTAGGAAGATGTAAAAAAGGAAAGGGAAAGATGAGACAATAACAACAGGTGCCTAAAATTACTAAAAAAATTCATGTTCACTTTATGAATTTACTGAGATTTCAAATATAAAGCATGATGCTTCTATTATCAATTGTTATTTATTCTATAATTCTATCTAAAAATTGTTACTCATCTTTTACTCTCTGTTTATCTTGTGTGCATTTCTCTGTGGTATATCTGTCTGTCTGTCTGTCCATCCAATTAGGAGTTCACTAAGAATTTGTAAGCACTTTCTTGCTTGTACTCCTCACCAGGACGTAGCACACAATTGGGAAAATTTGGCTAAAAAAAGGAGAAAAAAATAAGAACAAACACCAGCTGTTTTTATTCAAGAATAAAGTTTGAGTCATAGAGTAAATTTTCAAACACAGTAAAAAAGATCTCCTTCAAATCTTGTTTATACTCAAAAACAACCTCTGGGCTGATCAAAGTCAGACCATGGCTAACTCACAGATCAAACCCTGAAACAACTTCTGGGTGGATTTAAGTCAGGACATGGCTATCTCACAGATTGAACCCTGAAACAACCTCTAGGCGGATTTAAGTCAGGACATGGCTATCTAACAGATTGAACCCTGAAACAACCTCTAGGCGGATTTAAGTCAGGGCATGGCCAACACACAGATTGAACCCTGAAACAACCTCTGAGCTGATTGGAATTTAGCACGATGTTAAAGTTTTTGTGGATATCGTATGGGGGGATGGGGGTTACATTCTTGCTGCTATTTATATCACAATCTTTATATACACTACCTGGTTGATTGCATTGGGGTAGTTCTGCATCTCAAGACAGACGGCAGAGTACTTTTTGTAGTGCAATCCACCTTTACCAATGTTACCATCTAGGCCGTTGCCTGTGTAGAGTTGTACACCAGGTTGGTCCGTGTAGACCTCAAGTACACGCCCATTTGTGGGATGAATTGCTCTAAAATGTCACGCGAAATATCTTATTATCATCAAGTGTTTATGTAATATGATGAAATATGGTTACCACATTTTACCAATAAAATTCAATGACTTTTTTTTCATTCAATGAGATGCCAGAAAATGGGTCAGGGATGGATCCAGGGGGTGTCGCGTTTTGCACCGCACACCCCCTAATGCCGCAATTACTCTTAGGTTTTTTGAAGCAAAAGAAACATTTATGATGATAATATCTATTTATACATTTCTTTATTTGGGACACCCCCTAACAAATTTCTGGATCTGCCCCTGTGGTAGCCTGCATGCAGCCTGACAGTTAGTTAGTTCGGCTGCACGCAGGCTACCTCTGTGGGGTCGTTAATGTTCATTCTTAAAACTCAGGTTGTCCTAAAATTTTCTCGGTAGGGTCACATTCTTAGTAACATTACCTTGCCTTGCAGCCTTCTCCATTTGAAACACATAGTGTGAAGTCATATCCTGGTGGAGTTAACTTATTGATGTCCCGTCCTATCGGCTTGGGAGTCCTAAAATCAAGAGCACCATCTGGTGCACCAGATACTGGTCGTATTTCACCTATAGGAATTTGAAAATAATATCACATTACTAGTTAAATAATCCAGGAAAAATGACACAACATGCACAGATAGACAGATGCAGTCTGAGTTAGGCCTAAGGCAAACGTCGAACTTTCCATGCACCGAACTTAATTACATCAAAGAATGCCGCCTCATTATCACCTGATATCCATTGTTTTTAATGAGTTCGGTGCATGGAAAGTTTGACGTTTGCCCTAGGCCTTAATAAACATATTTCCTAATCCTTGAGAACTGTTTCTTTGTTTATCAGTAACTTGAACATTTTAGTGCGTAGCTCTACTTTTCAATCTTTTTTCTGGTTTTTGTGATATGTTTGTCCAATAAATAAATAAAAAAATGGGATTTAGCAGTGGCATTTCTACAGAGTAGCTATTCATCTACTGTTATTCCAATTGGAATTCAATGAAATCACAACATAGCATGAAATGAACAAGGTTTGTGCCGTTGTGATTTCATTGGCCAAAAGCAACACAAATACCAGACAAACCATTACATTTGAAAAGTAAAGCTATGAGCCTAATCAATCATGCTTCATTTATTATAAAAATCTTCAATGCAAAGTAGAATGCTTTACCTGTTGGAATCTGAACCTCATTTGTTGGCAGGTATGATTCAGCATCAATCCACAGCATGTAGTCCAGCACATCTTTGGTGGTCTATAAGATCATAATTATATAATAAGATCAAGAATCTTATCCACCCTAATTTGTATCCAGACAGAGTTTGTAAGCTGGCATTCTTTAGTAGATCCATGAGGGGGTAGGGGGTGGGGAAGTTCTAGTTCTTGCTTTTTCTCTTTAAAATAATAATATAATAAAAATTTATTAATTAATAGAGCATATCCTCAGACCCCCTTCCCAGAAACTAGCAATATAGATCACCCGGCCCCTAGCTTCCTCCAAACTCAAAATTCAAATCAACCCTCGAAGGCGGTATGCTTTTGGCAAGACAACTCAACATTGAAAGTAATAACATCGCTTCACCAAGTACTATAGGTTTTATAACAAGAACACTATAGGAACTCTATCACAACAACACTGCAATGTTTGCTTTACTTTTTTACCCCAACATAGATTGCCCAACATCGCAACACTGCAATCCCAGTCTCCCCCTTGCCTTTCCTTGTATTTTCATCCATTACCTGACCACCAAGGTTAAAGTATGAATGGTTGGTAAGGTTGACTGGTGTTGGCTTTGATGTTGTGGCCCTGTAGCTTATCTTCAACTCATTCTCCTCTGTCAGCGTATATGTAACTGATACTTTCAGCTCTCCAGGATATCCCTCTTCTCCATCAGCACTTGTGTACTTGAAGGTCACATGGTCACTTCCCATGATACCCTCCCATAACACCTAACAGAGAGATACATGGAAAACAAGCTGAGAGAAAAATCTCTGTTAAAAATATAATAACATTTAAATATCATCTAAAATAAATAATACGATCAAGGGGTACACAGGGTAGGGCACCCTACCATCCTTCATGATACAAATGTATTTCAAGGAATGTATGACTGAAATTCTTTGAGCGATCACTTTTTGATAAATGAATCCTCCCTGCAAAATGGCTGTCTACACCCTGCTCAACTTAGAGTAAAACCCTACCCACCCCCTAGTAATTGCAAAACCCCTCCATGATTGTATATATAAATACATTCTTTGGTAAAATAACTGTTTCTCACACACCACTGGGAGCTATTGTCCAGCTAACTCCTGCCAACTGACATATGCATTACTGTAATACATCATTCTTATCATCGCAACATGGTTTCAACGAAAAATTACTCTAAAGTCCTTCCAGCAATGCTGGCCTAGGGTTGGGGGGGTACTGTGGGGCTAACTAACAGTCATGGTGGACAGCGAAAAAGCAACACTGATGAAAACACTGACCATGTGACTAATATCCCTCGGCCCAGGCTCCAGTGGTGTGAGAAAACATTTTCCACTTATTTCGTTCCTCAGCCAGTGGAAAATACGACTTGAAAACTGTCATTTTAATGTTAATATTTACTAGGCCTACAGGTAGATTTACAATATACAATACCTTGTTGAATCCTATCCATCCACCATGTAAGCTGTTAGGTGGATCATTATCTGCCAAATGGTATTCCTTACCATCAAGGGTAAACTTTGCATTGGCAATCCTGTTTGCAACACGACCAACAGTTGCACCAAAATAAGGAGCGTTGCTAAGATATCCTAATAACACAGATAACACATCAGAAATTCTGTGTTTCTTCATTCAGACAATTAGACTATTGACCAATAAGGCCTAGGGCAAACGTCAAACTTTCCATGCACCGAACTTAATTACATCAAAGAATGCAAACTCATTATCACCTGGTATCCATTGTTTTTAATGAGTTCGGCCGGTGCATGTGAAAGTTCGACGTTTGCCCTAAGCCTAAGTTAATTAGTTTGAATTTTTCGACTAATGTAGAACATTTGAAATTTATAATTCTATAATTCATAATCTCTTTATATTACATTTTTAATACATTGAAATTATTATCTCATTATTATTGATCGTTATTATCATCATATTAATTTTATAAGACATGCTCCTCATTTGCTATAAAACATCAATATTATTTATAAATATTTCTATATTCATTAGCAAGGGCTCATTAAACTGCTCAGAAAATCTAAGTTTTTCACGTCAAATGCAGAAAAACCAACCTTCAAGAGTATCATATCCAAGTAAGATGTCATCAATCTTTCCATCTCTAAAACCAAATTGATCAATCAGAAAATTTGAAGTTTCGAAAGCGAAACTAAATTAAAGTTTCATCACACAGCTGTATGCTGGTTTTAGGCGCAGAGTGCAAACCAAATAACGTACTTATCTGGACACTTAATAGCCACAGTAACTGCCCCGAAAGATATCACCTCTACTTCGACTCCTTTCTCGTTAATGAGAGTGTATTTATCAACTTTTTTTCCATCCTTTGTGGTGCCAAAGAAAGACTTTTCTACGTGAACCATCTTGGAAAGTTTGGCTATAATGAACGAGGGGGACTGAGGCTGGTGTTGAGAAAGGGACACGAGTTGTCCACGTGTTTATCACGAGGAAAAACCCGCCTTAAATAAATTGGCGCGAAAGCCAAATATTCACCTAAAAAGGGAAAATCTTTATATAAGGAATGATTTTGTTTTTATCAGGTATTTAGGTTTCTACTTGTCCGAGCTTTTGAGTTTTATCTCATTTTTAAATACAGTGTGTGACAGTCACGCATATAAGGGTTTAGGGATTTATAAATGCATCGGTAAAGCATATACAAGGTCATGGCTTTCTAGTATGTGGTGGCTCCTAAAAGAGCCGTTATTTTGTTAGGTAGTTGAGAACTTAAGCTCTCTCGCCACGGATTCGGCGGGCGAGCTGTATATCTTTAGGCATGATGGTGACTCTCTTGGCGTGAATGGCGCACAAGTTGGTATCCTCAAAGAGACCAACCAAGTAAGCTTCACTAGCCTCCTGAAGTGCCATCACAGCTGAGCTCTGGAAGCGGAGATCTGTCTTGAAGTCCTGAGCGATCTCACGGACCAGACGCTGGAAGGGCAGCTTGCGGATCAACAGCTCGGTTGATTTCTGGTAACGACGGATCTCACGAAGAGCGACGGTACCGGGCCTGTAACGATGAGGCTTCTTGACTCCACCAGTTGCTGGGGCACTCTTACGTGCTGCCTTGGTGGCAAGCTGTTTTCGGGGAGCTTTTCCACCTGTAGATTTACGTGCGGTTTGCTTAGTACGAGCCATTTCAGTAACTTTTCTCAAGTATAGCGATAGTAGCTTCAAGGAAGTTTATATATCATGAACTAGATAATTTGATTGGCTGTAAAAGGTAAGATCGCGATTGGTTGATTTTGGATATGCGAAGATATGCGACGCTTTTCGATTGGCTGGACTTTGAACCCCGCTAAAACTTGAATTTTTCGAGCTTCAAACAAGATGACTAAAGGATTTTCTTAAGAATTCTTTACCAATACAGAATTGAAATTAAATAATTTACTTAAAATAGATGATTTTTGATACCAAGGATCAATGTAAGATACTAAATTATTAGTATTTTTTTCAAAAAAGGAAGAAAAATCACTGAAAAAAACTTGCCTTTTTGGCGCCGATTTGAACAAGCGGATCAAGCCTTACATATTTTAATCTATAATTTTTTTCTTTTCATATTCAAATATTTCCCCAATCCTTGTTTTCTAAGAGGTTCCTTATGTCAATATAAAACTCAAAATTATTTCGCTATCTAATTCATTCTTTGTCGGAAAACTAAAAAGCTAAAATGTCTGGTCGCGGTAAAGGAGGAAAAGGTCTTGGAAAAGGAGGCGCCAAGCGTCATCGTAAGATCCTTCGGGACAACATCCAGGGAATCACCAAGCCCGCCATCCGTCGTCTTGCTCGTCGTGGTGGAGTCAAGAGAATCTCTGGTCTGATCTACGAAGAGACCCGTGGTGTACTCAAGGTTTTCCTTGAGAACGTCATCCGTGATGCCGTCACCTACACCGAGCACGCCAAGAGAAAGACTGTCACAGCCATGGACGTTGTCTACGCTTTGAAACGCCAAGGACGTACCCTGTACGGATTTGGCGGTTAAATGATAACCTAATGTATCAAAACAACGGCTCTTTTAAGAGCCACCACATGATAAAAAGGTCATGAATTCATTATGCTTGAATTTATATGCACACACAACTTACAATGATACATAAAAAATAAACCTTCACGGGTAAACTGCAAAAATAGAATATCTTGATAGTGCTTGCAACGATCCCTGCAACTCCCTTCGCATCGTAAAAGCTTTCAAACCTTCTTCCCTTGAAAAAAAATCCGAGGAGTTTTGAAAGGACACTTTGATCACTTTCGCATGTGATGCTGTTTGAATGCTTATCTGTAAACAAATAAATGTTTTGGCGCAAAGTTTGATTCAACTGACATTGTCATAGTTATTTGCCTCCTAATCTTACAATCTTTACAATTTTTATCTTCGGACTCTCGACTAAGCCTTAATAGGTTTGGCTTTTTTTCATTACTATTAAAGCCTTTATATAGGTTTGGCGCCAAGATCAGTGTTGTCTTATGCTGCTTATATAGTTTATGGCATACAGTTTTGAAAACGTCACTTTCCTACCGGAATGACGATAATGGTTGTTGAAACGCCAAGGACGTACCCTGTACGGATTTGGCGGCTAAATGATAACCTAATGTATCAAAATAACGGCTCTTTTAAGAGCCACCACATGATAAAAATGTTATTAATTCATTATGCTTGAATTTATATGCACACAACTTACAATAATACATGAAAAATAATAATGGTTGTTGCTTCCTTTCTTCACTCTGACATCGAATAATTTGGGCGCCAAGAAGATTTGAAACTGTTGTCTCAAATGCTTATGTAGTTTATGGCATTAGTTTTGAAAAAGGCACCCTTCTTATCATAGTAATGGAGCCATCACTCGACTAAGTATAAATTTGTGAAAAAGGTCTGCATGGAAATAGCTATAAATGGGATGGATGAAAAAGTATAGATTTGTGGGTCAAGAGAATTTTCCTTTGTCGCTGTTCAGTTAAAGTTAACTTATTTCTGGAAATGTGTGTTTACGTATGAAAAAGGTCTGTATGGAAAGTTATATAATTCTGATGTATAAGCATATACGATCATCTCTTTTAGTAAATTTGGTGGCTCCTAAAAGAGCCGTTGTTTGAGAACTTTGCTGTTTTACAGCTTAAGAACTTTTCTTCTCGGTCTTCTTGGGTAGAAGAACAGCTTGGATGTTTGGCAGCACACCACCTTGAGCAATGGTTACTCCACCAAGAAGCTTGTTCAACTCCTCGTCGTTTCTGACAGCCAACTGCAAGTGACGGGGGATGATTCTGCTTTTCTTGTTGTCACGGGCAGCGTTACCGGCCAACTCGAGGATTTCAGCGCTCAAGTACTCAAGAACTGCAGCCATGTAGACTGGAGCACCAGCACCGACGCGTTGAGCATAGTTGCCCTTGCGGAGGAGACGATGGATACGACCGACGGGGAACTGAAGCCCTGCACGGGATGAACGAGTTTTGGACTTGGTGCCCTTTGCTTTGCCTTTACCGCGACCAGACATGTTGAAGGAAGATTTCTTCTGAACTAAGATTTCGTTTGAAGATAGCGAAAAACGTTCGCATTTCAGTATTTATAGCTGAAGCTTGATGACATTCGGATCACAAGCCACCAATCGAAACTCACTTGAGAACAATGCACAAAGACTTCGAAAATAATGTACTCTCAATATCCCCGGCTCAACCAATCACAACTTTAGAATTTCGATCCTCGTTGATCCGTAAGTTTAGTATAAATTCATGTATTAACGCTAAGTAAAGTCACATTTAGCTTGAGCTGAAAAAATCAAAAGATGCCTCCAAAACCAATCGTAGGAAAGAAAGGTGAGAAGAAAGCCGGCAAGAAGGCCGCGCTTGGTGACAAGAAGAAGAGAAGGTCCAAAAGAAAGGAATCCTATGCCATCTACATCTACAAAGTCATGAAGCAAGTCCATCCTGACACTGGTATCTCCAGCAAGGCCATGAGCATCATGAACTCCTTTGTCAAYGATGTCTTCGAGCGYATCGCTGGTGAAGCTTCCMGMCTYGCTCACTACAACAAGAAGTCCACCATCACATCTCGGGAAATCCAGACGGCCGTTCGTCTTCTTCTCCCTGGTGAACTGGCCAAGCACGCAGTCAGTGAAGGCACCAAGGCTGTCACCAAGTACACCAGCAGCAAGTAAACAGTTTTGAACTGTTTGCACCAAAAAACAACGGCTCTTTTAGGAGCCACCCAAATGAATCAAAAGACATGACCATATGCTATCTCCAAATAATCTATAACAATACACAAATTCATTCGAACATTATTTTCTGATGAAGATAAAAAACACTTTTACGGCATACTTCCATTGTATTATATTTTAAATATTAATAAAACATCTTACAACATTATTTCACTTTGGGTTTGCTATCACTTTCATCTGCGAGAAAAGCTATAATAAATGGCGTTACATATACAACTATGATTACCAAAGTCATACTTTTGAAGTAGCCAACTAAATAAGATAGTATTTCATCGCTAAAAGATGGTTGCAATGTTTCCATTAATTGGATTAATGTTAGAGATAAGAATATCTGAATGACACGGAATAAAATCGATTTTTTCTGTGAACTTTGTGGTTTGAAACACGAGTTTACGAGGTAGTGTGCTATTCCTATGCCAAGCACTGACCCAGCATCTCGTACTAAGGCATAAAACGGCCTTGTTTCTATATGGATATAAGATGGATCAGCACACCACTTTTGTGCTTTTTGAACAGATTCAGAAGGATCAAAAACTGCAYGWGAAAGAATTTCATAAAAACCAAGAGACAGAAWCATAAGCATGAATGAAACAAAGCTGCATTTTTGAATACTTGTAAACTTTGATAAATCTAGATTTTTTTGACTTATGTATGAGATAGCAATACCACCGAAAACACCTCCAATAACTTGGTGAGGAAAGTGTGTTGCAATGAATAACCTTGACAAAGAGACCAACGCTATTACCACAGAAAAAGCAAACCACAAACAGACATGGATTAGTCGTTCTTGTAAAGAACCTTTGGTTTTGATGAAGTAAAGAAAATGTGTTGTTACTATCGGCATCATGGTATAGAGAACTGATGTTGTTACCATTGCATGACCTGAAGGAGAGCCTGAAAAGAATAATAATTAACAAAAATATTGAACTCAAATTTAAGTGATGCTTTCAATACATGATCATATTTGACTACTCCTAGCATCTTATCTACAATTGTTATATATATAATATGTTATATACAACCACCATTTCCCATACGGTGCTCTTCCGTGAGGTTCATTATTTACAACATACGACAATCAAGACACATGTTGATTTTTATGGAGGGAGGAAACTGGAGAAACTAGAGAAAACCCTTGTGGCAAGGGAGAAACAACACATCAAACAAAAGCAACTCACATATGATACAGTCTGAGCCATGGCTCAAACACATAACACCACATTGAGAGGTGAGTGGTAAACCACTATGCCACCCATGCCATCAAAATTGTTGCCATTATCGTTGGCATTATTTTGCTATGGTATTCACATCTCCCATAGTGCAATTATTCAACCTTGGTATGAAACAAAACCTTTACCAATCTTTTTTTGAAATGTCCACCGCATGTGGAATGGAATTTCCAAGGAACAGGAAGATTCATGGTAGGATGTACTAGTGCTTCTCTGGGTAACTACAGCTATCAAATTATATTAAGAAGTTTTCATTAATACCTGGACCAGTTTCACAGGTTAATGGATACTGGAACAGCTTAGTGTCTTTCCAAACATCACTTTCATTGACCCACCAATAGGGTCTTTCACCTCTCAAAAACCTACAAAAGAGAGAAAAGAGAGAAAAGGGAGAAAAGTACATACAAAGTTTTATCAATCAAAACCATCCTCATCCCAGTGCTCTCTCAGATGTTTTTTTGCAAAAGATGAGGGGGCATGCTAAATGGTTTCACAAAGTGGGATTCAATGGAACCACCTCTGGATCTGCCACAGCAATCCCAGTCCTAGCCTTGGGTAATGTATATAAATGATGCTTCCTATGTGATTTTATTTCCCATTCCTGGGATTTAATCCCATTTTTCCTAGTTCAAATTACACTTCCCATCCAAGACCTTCACAACAGTTCTATTGAAAATTCCTAGGAATTTCAATTTCTTACACCCACAGACCACGATACAAGTAAAGAGTCTTCTATTCCCTATAGGAAACTTTCATTTATTAGCACGTGGGTGGGGGGTTGGCAAAAACACATGGAAAGCTTTAGACACGTACCCTTCCCCCCCATGTGCTAATAACTGAAAGCCTTCTAACAACTGGTATTAGCGTACCATTTGAGAATAAGGTTCAACCATTCGGATATCACAGCGACCCACAGTACCATCAAACCGACAGCTTTATCCAAATGGTACGCTACAGGAAAGTAAATCAAGAAAGAGTTCCTGGGATCTCCAACACGACTTAGAAACAGCATCTGGTTTGTGAAGCCAGAGAATGCGTTTTGTAAATATATAATGAATCGCACCCCTTCACTTTGTAGGACATCCATCTTGGTGAGTTGGCAACTAAGCCTTCGACACAGGAAGCCCAAGCAAATGCAGATGTTTTTGGAAAACAAAAAAATAGGAGAATTCAGTTTTCATTTAAACTTCACCAAGAGATCAGGAAAAGTGGAAACAATGACTCAAGGAGGTTGTAATGCAATCTACTCAGATAAACATTTAGTTTTTTTAAAGTCTCGCACATAAAAGAAGTTGTTTGGGTTACCTGTGGTCGGTCGCGATAAATGTCAAATCCAAGATGGCGGACAAGAAGACACCTTACGAAGTTTTAGGAGTAGCTCAAGAAAGCACAGAGAAAGAGGTAAATATTCCACAATGTTTAATTTGAGAGAGCTTCTTGAATGTTCTTACTGGCTTGCTGTGGCTTTGTAGATCACAAAAGCGTATCGCAAGAAAGCTCTTATCTGCCATCCTGACAAGAACCCTGACAATCCAAAAGCGGGTGAGTAGAGCTAGTTTTAAAGTTGCGTTTAACAACTACATTTTATTAATGATTTAGTGATACTCCATTTTTTACATACGTAACAGAGTCAGGTATGGTAAGCCTTGTTATTCTAAATATCATTTTATGTGTATACGTTGTTCATCTGAAGTTTATGTTCTTGTTTCACAGTTGCTTTGTTTCATGAGCTCAGTAAAGCATTAGAAGTTTTAACTGATCCCAAAGCAAGAGCAAGCCTTGATGCAAACCTAAAGGCGAAAGAAAGGCAGAGATTACGGAACCAAGCTCTTGATGCCAAGAGAAAGAAGTTCAAATTAGGTAATAACGAGTGATGGTGAGGTATGCTATAAAGTGCTATGTAGGAACTCTCATTACTATCATCATTATTCATCATCATTATTCATCATCATCATTGTCTCAATGTCCTCCATCTTCATTATCATTGACATTATCATTCATCCTAATGTATCATGCATTATCATAACATGTGTAACCTTTTTTATCATTACCATTATCATCGCTTGTCATGGTCATCATCATTTATCATGATGATAATCATCATCATGATCATTGTAACCATTATCATCATTATCATCAAAAAGACTTAAAATTGCCCCAAATAGGTGTCCCACAATATATGGTATTTGGGGATCTTGGTGTTATTAACTCTCTATCAACCCAAAACCAGAAAAAAAAATAGTTGTCACTGTGCTTCAATGTCAATTTCCTAGATCTTGAGCAGCAAGAGAACTTAGCTAAAGTAACGAAAGAAAGTACAGAAGAAACTGAGAAAAGACTCAAAGCTGAGGTACAGTTATTCAAGGCAGTTAAACTAACAACCTCTTGGATGGAAACCATCAGGGCTATCCTAAATCCGGGCACAGCTAATTCACAGATCAAACCCTGAAATAACTTCTGGGCTGAATCTAAGTCCAGGCACAGCTAACTCACAGATCCAATTGGAATTTAGTGCTTCAATTGGGGTTTGTGGATTAAGAAAGAAAAAAAGGATGACCAAGAGAATTAAGAAGAGACCTAACAAGCTCTAATCACATCTAATCCTGAGTCTACTAGGAATCAAAACTGATACCCCAAAGGGGAGAGGAGAGAGGGCACTGCCACTATAGTAATCCTTGTTTCCCTAAATGCAAAATCCCTATCTTCAAACTAAAATATTTGAGTAATGTAGAATGTGGTTATTGATTATAGATTGAAAGACTGAGAGAAGAAGGCTCACAGCTTCTCAAAGAACAACAGGATCTCATGAGAACTCAGATGCAGGATAAACAACAGACTCCATACATTCACATATATGATCACACACCTAAACTTAAGGTACATATGTATATTTATGTCATGTATTTTTCTTTGTAAATAAAAATGATTTCATGTATATGATATTATGTCTAAATTAAATTTTCATGAGAAAAATAAAGACAAATTCAAGTCAAGTCAAGCAAGCATCATCATTGTTGTCACCATCATTGTTATTATCATCATCATCTACATCATTGTTCTCCTGTTTGTCATAGTTTCATTCATCGTCATTTTCATCATGAACATTATTATCAGCATTTTAATTTTCATAAAATTTTGAAAACTATTTTCTTTAAGGTTAAATGGAAATGTAAAAAAAATGATGAAAGAAAAGGTGGATACACAGAAGAAATATTGAATACCATATTTAAAAAGGTAACTTTTCATATTAATGTTAATGTTCTAACTTAATAGCTAATGAAAATATTCTTTCTTCTAGTATGGAGAAGTATCACACATAATTCTATCAACCAAAAAGAAAGGAAATGCAATAGTGGAATTTGCGAATGTCACAAGTGCTGTAAGTTTCTTCAATATTATTGATTCCAGAGCGACTGATCCAAGATTTTGGCTAGGGGGGTTGAACCACTAATATTAAAGATTCATGATCTGTTAGCTGTGGAAAAGTAAAAAGACACTTTAAAAGTCATTTAGGGGTTTCAATTGCAGTTCAGGGATCCAAAATTGGATTCATAGTAGTTATATATTCCTTTAAATCTATTCTGAAGAAATTAGGAAGCTGTCCTTCAGTAGCATTCAATCATTAAAAAAATGTGTAGTTATCAAAAAAGTGAGTTCATACAAGAAGAAATTATACAGTAGTGTATGGCCTTACTTGATTGATATCTACACATTGAAAGTTTTTCCCCATTGTATTTTCAGAAATTGGCCTTAATGAATGAATTTGGTAACACAGATAACCCACTAAACATTTCTTGGCTAGAAGACCCAGTAATTACCACTGAACAGACTACTGCAGAAGCATTTGCAAGCCCAGTATCAAGTACACCAACATCCACTTCTACAACTCCATCAACAATATCAGACACAATTTCAGACAAAGACTATGAAAGTGTTACTCTCATGAGACTTAGACAAGCACAGGAGAGAAAAAGACTGATAGAAGAAATGCAGAAAGAAGATGAGGAGGGATGAAATATGCTGTTGAAATTTATGATCAAAGCTCATAGATTTTTTACTGTAGGAAAAAGACTTTGCAATCTTGCATTGTTGGCTCTTGGGAGCAGGGGTGGGGGTGGGGAGGGGAAGAAGGAAATAGACCTATTATTACCTTGGGCGTACAGACCATGTGTCATTATCTACCATTGTTTGTTTAGTGGTTGCGCATGATAAGACATATGGATATGGATACAGCACAAACAAATGAAAGATATTTTAGGGAATGACAAATGTGGTCTGAAATAAGAAAACATTATGCTTAAGGTAAAGAGGTCTATCCGTCTTTACTCTTCTTTCACTTTACCTATACTTTCCCAAAGTCTACTTCCCTCTCTCTATATACTTTGCTCAAATATAAACCTTCCCTGGGAGTTAATAGAGGTTGACATAGGGCATATCTACCCTTCCTTCTACCTTCACCCCTCCCCTGAGCTAACAATGGAGCCTTTGACCAATCTCACATCAGCAACCATGTTGCATAGCCAAGCAAAATTCTTACTAAACAAGAATAAGGATTTCATTTTTGAGTGAAAAAAGATAGTAGTTTTTGCCATTCAGCATGGCTGCCAGATTGCCATAGAAACAGCAGATCTCTTTTTTACCTTTCCAGTTTTATTAGAGTTTTTACAACCAATTAAAAAACATTACGTTAAACAATGTATATGGGAGAAATTGTCAACCAAATTTTGCATTTCCAGTCATTAGATGCACCTGAAAATGAAAAAAATCAAATCACTAAAATCATTGCAAATTTTAAATTAGACATTTGGAATGTCATGGGTTACCTGTGTATTTTTTTCACCAAAGGTAATCCAAAGCATCATTTCTTTTTCGTAATGACTGATAAAACATACCTTTGTGTGGCTAAAAAAGGCTTTTTCATTGGGCCTTATGAAGGGTCCAAATAATCGTCTGACCGACACCAGTTGAAGAAATGACTGTGTATCCAATTTCCTCTAGCTTATTTAAGACTATTAGAGGAGGGTCATCTACCATGTATTCCTTGCTGGGCAAAGAACAACAACATTAAAGGTAGAAAATAAACTTTTTTTTTTAGATTTTAAATTTTCTCTATTAAGACTACAAGACAAACAAGTACTTTAGGTAGAATGCGTGGCAACATTTTTAAAAAGGAAGAGCCAAGGAAGAGCCAGGTGATTGATAACAGTGTAAAAACATCCCCTAACCCTCCCCTCCCAGCCCTTTTGTGATTCATTAGAATATTAATCAGTGGTTAGAAAATATCATCATCCAAGGAACAAAAATTGCCTGTTTCTTGAAAATTATTTCGATATTTCTTAAGCATGATCATATTTCATGGTCGTAAAGGTCAAATAGAAAGGTTTTTCTTGTGAATGACAAGTGTTTTCGCAAAGAGGTAGGATAGTACATAAGGTGTCGTATTGAATACCTACAAGTTGCTCCCAAACTGTTGCACAAGCTTTGCTCCCAGTTTTTCCATGATCCAAGGATCACTTTTTTCGTCTCCGCATATCGTTGGACCGTCCTCCTGCAAGAGGGATTTTAAACAGAGAAAGATTACAGTACTCGCAAATGTCTAGCTACATCCACTGTATCAATCGTAAAGGTGGTAATTTCATACAAGTTTTTTAAAAATTTTCCTCCTAAACGAAATCTCAAACTTAAAACAAGCTTTTACCAGTCTTATTTTTGTAGAAATAAGTAGATACGGCATATTTTACTTGGCTAATTTCAAGTCTTTTAACCCAAAATCTCGAGAAACTCCACGCTTGGATGGTTCAGCTTAAAATATGAATATAATCTTGGGTTTCCTGTTGATTTTCTGCGCTAAATAAAAACAAAATGGCGTCTTATGGCATCTCACAAGACGATGTTGGGCTGTCTTTTTTTGGAAGAAAATTCCTCATAGGAACGACTATAGGATTAGGAATAGGTATTGGAGTCGGTGCTGGGTTGCTAGTCATTAAGAAATTTGGAGGAAAACGTGAGAAAGATGAAAAAATGGTGGTTTGTTTGCAAGACCTGACACAAGAGTTGAAAGAACTTCGCTCAGTTATCGTGAGACTCAAAGATAATATCGCTACTCCTGCGAGGGAAACTAAGCTAACAGGAAATGAATATAGCTCTAATTCTTTAAGAGAAGTTGCGTCTGTACGGACGATATCTGACGATGAGGAAGAGTTCTTTGAAATGCCTCCAGACGAGGAAATTTTGTTCACCCAAGCAGACCAACTACAAACTAGGTATAGATAAGCTTAAAACTACGTCTAAAAAGGTTATCTTGCTTCTTTGTACTTATCCATGTAGATTTTTAAATGAAAATGATACAGTAACAGCATTAATACTGATTGTCTGGGGCTTAATGTTTTCCCACTTGAGACATTCTATTTTCTTGAGGATCATTTCTTTGTTTAACAGTTGCACATGAGAAGACACATGAATATGGACACAACTCAAACAAAGGATCTTATTCTCAAGAGAATGACACGTTGTCTGAAATAGGAAACTAAGACGAAAAGATCCATTGATTGTGTCGGCACTTGTTCATTTTTATGATTCTCTTTCTTTAAGTGCTCCCTTTGACGATATCAAACCAATAATCCAAGAGGTGGAGCTACTAAGCAATGATGAAACTAATGAGAATAATAAAGATAAAGTGCACACCTTATTGGAAAATGCTGTCAATAAGGTAAGTTATGCCACTTCACCCATCATCAACATTAGTTCTAGGATTTTAAGCACTCAAGTGTACCTCTTTTATCCTGTGATAAAATTTGAGAGAAGTACTATGGAACACATAGGTTTTTTCCTATGACAGATTTGAGGAAAGACAATGCAAGATGCAAGCTGTGATATTTCAAAAAATGTTGCAGAACCATTTAAAAAACACTACATTTTTCATCTTGACCATGCACAGAATGCCTGAGCCAATATTTTTTCAGCTGATATTTTTAATTAAATTTTTACAGTATCCAGAGAATGCAGAACTCTTATGGAGATTAGGAAAATCATTTTATGATATTGCATCAGAGAAAGGCAAAGCAGGATTCCTAGAAGAGAAGAAAAATCTATTGTACAAAGGTATGTTTCAAGACTGTTAACTTTGTATACAAATACCTCCAGGCAATGCCTTGTATAAGCAGTTAGATATGAGTCCAGACAGGGGAGTTTTGGTAAGGCCAAACAAAAAACAAGTGTGTTTCCTGTTGCACGACTGACCCTAATTTTCTTGCCGATTTTTGCCGATCCATTCCCAAATGCACCACAGGGTTCCCAGTAAGCTTATTTCCACTGAAAACAAAAAAATACCTTGTATCAGTAAAGAAAAATCCCATCTACCAACCCCAATTATTTTTCTCATGCAACAGGAAACACACTTATTTTTTTGTTTGGCCTAAAAAATTGCCTCTCACCTCAGAGGTCTGTGTTCAAATCCTGGTCACCCCATCTCAGCTGACTTGATTCATGGTTTTCTTTTTGACTCCAAGAGTTCTTCTGGCTCCCCAGTTTTTCCTCCCTCTTCTCAAATCAACCCTAACTAATCCAAACTGGTTAGAGCTGTGCTCCAAGGTCATAAAAGGACTGTATAGGGGCCTTCACATGCTTTCAGTTCGAATTGTTAAGCTGCACCACTGCTGTACTTGCAATGGTGATTAGCGATAACAAGATACAACATAATCTCCTACCACTCCCAGGTGGACATTCTCTCATAACCTTCTGATTTCTATAATACCCATTACTGTCTTACAAGATGGACCCAGCAATTAAGGTTGACCATTTAACAAACTTTGATTTTATTTGTCATTTATTTTGACAAAAAATAAAAATGCATCAAGAAACCATTTAAGGACGGTGCCTACTATTGTCCATGCGCACACGTACTGCGCATCTACATTCCAGGAATTTCAAAATTTATTACTCGAATTGCATGAAACAAAATGTTTATTTTCAATAAAAGTTAAACAGAAAACGATCTTAAGTAACCCAGGCTTGTTAAAGAGATAATTTGCTGAAGTTTAAGTATTATTGACAAAGAATCATAAGTTTTTTTGGGCAAGTTTTGAAAAAATGGCATACTCATAGTTCTAACTATAAACCAAATCCTTTCAATAATAAAGCTTTTTACCGTTTCTTTAGATTTAATCCTATAAAACTTGAATAAAAACAAACAAGAAATACATATGAAATTGAAAATTTACCATTTATTAATATCTAGGTGTGTAATTATAGTTTTGAAAATCTTTTTTTGGTCGCTAAACACTTTCATCATGAAATTCTTTTACTTTGGAGTTCTCAATCTGAAAAATCATTTTATTACGTACCAAATATTTCAGAAATTCCTTTCTBCTGTTAAGTAAAAAGTCGATAATAACTTCACTTCAAACCCAATAGTCTTCCTGGAACTATAAAGTTTATAAATATCGAGTTTTTCTGTGTGTTTTTTGCTTGCATGGCAGGAAGCAGCATGTTTAGCGCCAAAAACAGTGTTTGTCGTGCCGTTTTGTATGCTGTGTTACACTTGTCACACATTCGGTATATGATTTATCCCTAATAATGTTCTTTACAAATTCGTATATCTTAAAAACGCCTGGATACCCCTATTTTTTCTTCGTTTAAATGATGGAGTAAATGTTAAATTAGCCTCGTGAAATGAAATTTATAAAAAATAATTGGTCTTGAAAAGAATATGGACACAATCTTTATGTACCTACTGATCGAAAATAGGGAGCAAGAAGCTAAAAAATTATATATGTTATAGCCAACTATCAAAGTCATGGTAGAATTGGGTATATTTTAGTAAAGAAACAAAGTGTCAGTCATTAATTTTGAAAAAAAGTTTTTTTCCTGGTGTTAGTAAAATCATGACGTCATCACTTTTTAACAATGTTTAAGTCTTATTATTTCTCTTAAATGCATGGTGACCCCTACTTTTCTAACCAGAATTTGACAACCCTTTGATAGGTTAAAATAATTCACATAGTCATTTAAAAAAATAATCAGTCATTAGTTAATCCCTAAATCGAATAACCATCCAACCAACCAAACAAATATTCTCCTACCTCCTGGTGATGTTACTCCACAATACAATCAATGTATCTTTCTTTACCTGTAATAGGTTTAGGAATAGTGCAGAAATCAGTTAAGATAAACAGTCAGAATGCAAGTGCCCAAAAGTGGTAAGTGAACCCGTAATAATTCTCATGGTTTGAATAAATGAATCAATAATTAGTCTTTGCCAATTTTTCCAGGACAATCCAAAAGCCTTTTTGCACCTTATTTACTTCAAATTGAAATTCTTAACTTGTCTTCCCCAATGTGCAATATAGTTCTTTACATTGGGCATAATGTTTCCCCATTTCAGATTCCTTCATTCTATAGAGTATTACTTATGTACATGTATCTTGTCTCAGGCTGAGCTCGCGTGGACTTCGAGTCTTTTTCCAGCCTGTGCAATGTTACTAAAAAGAAATATTTTTAAATATTTTGGTTGTACATTAAACTACACAAGAATATGGATACAACTCAACCAAAGAATCTTATTCTCAATAGAATGATACATGATCTGAAATAAGAAAAACATTATGTACGAGGTTAAGAGCTCGATTGGCTCTACTTGCATAGTGTCTTCATACTAGTCTTTTATATGAAGGGCCAATGTTTCCAAGGGAGCGAATACAGTAGGACTAAGCATAGCATCTTTACGCAAGTGTTCTTGATTGTAGGTGTGCTATATTACTAGGAAGTACATCTGACTATGAAAGTACACAAGATAGGATATTATTAGGATTCAAATACAAGGTAAGAATTCATATATGTTTATCTATCCAATTAAGAGGGGAGGGGTGTGGTAACTTGAAATCCTAGATTTTGTCACCAAATATCTTCAAAGACAACAATGACAAAAACTTTATTTGCACTCTAAGTGTATAATTACATAAATATATATATTAGAAAAAGAAAATATTTCAAAAACAATCAAAGCTACCTACTAGAAGTCAAATCACAAAAATATATACTGGAGGCAGCATGGTCAAGTGGTCATAACATTGGTCTCACAATCTGGTGGTGCTGGGTTCGAGTCCCGCTGTGGCCACTAGCCGAGATTTGTCGTGATTTCTGATAAGTTCAGATTCAGTTTCTCGACCATGCCTCCAAGGGACTCCTTGAGTTTCTTAAAAACACTTTATGTTTCTTTGATTATTTCTTCATTTAAATTTATTAATTTGTGGACTAGTACACTGTAAATTAGCAGTTAGCTAAGTGCACTTTCCACGTTAAATAAAGTTAATATTATTATTATGCTGTATTTTGTGTGAAGAAATTGTGCAAACCGTTTTGTGCAAACATATTTAAAGCAAAGGCCACTCCTGAGTCAACCAGATGGCAGACTGGGATTTTTATTGCTATTCTCTTATTCTAAGAGTGATTGTCATTACAGGAACACATAACAAAGTCAATAGAATTAAACAACAAGGATGCAACGTCATACCATTTACTAGGGCGTTGGTGTTATGAGGTAAATCAGAATCAACTGGATCTAAATGACTAATATTTTCCCCCAAAATACCACTGCACTGTTTTATCTTGTTTTTCTCTGTCAGTGACATATCCCTGTAGTCCCTTCTCTCATTGGGTAATTTTCGAGCCCTGACAAAGTGGCTCGCCTCTCACCGCTGTGGTCTGGGTTCGAGTCCAAGCTTGGACTGTATTGTATGTGAGTTGCATTTGTTTGATGTGTTGTTCTCTCTCTTCCCATGAGGGTTTTCTTCGGGATCTCTGGTTTACCTCCCTCCGTAAAAATCAACATATGAGTTGAGTGTTGTATGTTGTAGATATAGAATGAAGTGGTAGTGTTTGTGGAGCGAACTTCATGGAAGGGCCCCTCACAGGGAGTGATGGCTGTAAATGCATAAGATGCACAACTGATGTATTACGAGTATAGCGATACTAGCACAGGCAATAAGAATAAGGAAGAACTGTTTAATTTCTTTGTCAGGTCAGTCAGCTTCCTTGGTGGCAGAGAAGAGCCGCCTCAGCATTTATAGCTGAACCTCCAACATCAACAGTACAAGAAGCTTTAGAAAACTTTCTCAAGGTAAGATTGAGGGATCATTCTTATTCCTTCTAAATAAAGAATGAAGACCTGACACACTAAATTGCATTTCCATCTGTGAGCTAACCATGCCCTGACTTTGATCAGCCTAGAGGGTGTTTCAGGGTATCAAATTGATAAAAATTTGAAGGATACCAGGCCTGTAGCTAGAGAAACTATCATAATTAGATGTACTGGTAGTTGTTTTCTTTCATGTTTATCCCCTTTCTTGGATAATAAGTTCAAGGTTTTTTACCTCTTACAATTATTATTTTAATCAAACTTTATTTTTTATTCAAGGCAGAAGAGCTTGATCCAGGATTTTGGTTGTCAAATTCCTACTGGATTGCTAAAGTAAGTGTTTTACATGTTGTTTAACAGACTCCGTGTTTAACTTAATAGGACCTTTTGGCTAGGGCGTAACATTTTCCCATTTTGGAATTTTTGGAGCATGTCTATTCTCAGGCTAACCCTGAGCAACTGAGTCTGTAATCATGGTACTCAGTGCTCTGTAGTTTAGTTACAGTTACGACAACTGTTTTTATTTCCACTTATCAAACTCATTAATAATGTATGAGGAAAACACAACAGGAATCATGACCGTGAAGAGTATTGTAAATCTGATACAAAACTGTGTTCATTTGCATAAACTTTAAGTTGGATTTTCTTGGCCAGATTCACTTTAACTTTGAAAATTTTAGTGAAACACAAAGGAACTAACCTAGACGTTTGATAAGTCATATACAGTATTCATGTCCGTGTTGTATCAGATATACAATCACTCGGCTACGCCTCATGGTTGTATATCTGATACAACATGGCCACTCATACTGTATATATTACTCATAAAACTCATGAATAATTAATGAGGAAAACACAATAAAACTTATTGTCCGTGGAGGAGGTTGTATATCTGATACAAATTCGACGTCCTGATTTTCTTAGCCAAATTCAATTTTATCTTTAAAATTATAGTAGAACATGAATGTATACACCTAGATGTTTCATAAGTAATATACAATATTCGTGTCCGTGTTGTATCAGATATACAACCACGAGCCTTTATCTGATACAACACGGCCACTCATATTGTATATATTACGAAATATATACATAGATAAATTGAATAAGTTATAAATTTTGTGGGGAATGCAAAAGACAACCTTAGAGGTTAAACAAGCTCTTAGGCCTAGGGCAAACGTTGAACTTTCCATGCACTGAACTCATTAAAAACAATGGATATCATGTGATAACGAGGCAGCATTCTTTGATGTAATTAAGTTCGGTGCATGGGAAGTCCGACGTCTGCCCTAGGCCTTACACCCTTAAAACTAAAGTGAGTAATATTTACGTATGTGTAAGATGGAAGGATATTAAAAAAGGTTATTAATCATTGGTAATGGTTTTTTATGTTTCCCAGTGTTACTATGATCTCAGTCAATATAGTCAAAGTAAAGAATGGTTACAGAAAATTGTGACAATGAAGACCAAGTCTGAGGAAGTAAGTAACAAAAACACTCAAGCACAGGGAGCCCAAGCTTAGTTTTTGGTGTGAATATATTACAGTTTAGAATAACTGTCATTGGTATAATTCAAAGTTGCTTTTTCTTTTTTCATGTGTGGAAAAGTCAAGAATTCTTTATGCTTCTTTTTGTGCTTTTTTTTTGTTGTTGTGTGTGTGCTACAGTAGATCTTCACATTAGTGAATTTGGAGCCCTCGAATAAGGATAGTGCTATTTATACGTACAGCTATTTCAAAAAGGTTGAATACTGAATACTGTATACTGAATAATGCATTCCAAGACCAAAGGGCATTGTGGGTCATAGTGACATTGTCTAAAGTAGGATTAATAATTATTATTTATTCTATTTTTAGTGTATCCCATCTGAAGCAATATACTAACTACATGTAGAGAGTTAATTGCTGTATATTTACCTTTTATTTCAAATTATCGAGACCCACAATGCCCTTTGGTATTAGAGTGCACTATTCAGTATTCAGTATTCAGTATTCAGCTTTTTGAAATGGCTGTACACTGTGATAAAATAAGAATAAGAATAAATGCTTGAGCTTGTTGTATGAAGATGAAAATTAAAAGCTGCATTTATGTTGCTTGATTTGATGTCATGAAGTAGGAAAATGTGTTATCAAAGTATTGTTATCAGCAAAAGATAAGTCCAGAGAGAATGGTAGTCACCAGGGGGGGTGGTACTCACATAAGTTATATTATAGAATTACAGGGATGCTCGCTGTAAATTGTAATAACTACCCCTAAAAGGTACCAGTCTTGTCAAAGTAATAAATAACCTGAATCACAACTGGCTGTCATTAATATTATTTTAATTCTAAAATGTTTTTTAAAATTTACTTCTCTCCTAGGATGAAAAATGTCTTGCTCTGGGAAGAGAACTTCTACAAAGCTTGTAACTCTAGCTAGCGATATATTAATGATATGAAGCACCTGTTTCCATGGTAAGCATGTCAATATAGTTTAATGAAATGTTAGGCAGTGTCAATATTGATACTAAAAATACTGCTCCTTGAAGATATTAATAATTTGCCAGTGAATCTATTAATTTGAAAGCCTTAAACTAGTATAATATCATAATGATGATAATAATAATAATTATTATTATTATTATTTGCCTATATTCTTTTTGTAAACAGCGCAAATAAACTTTTCATTTTAATTTGCACTTTATAAGTATAATTATTAATCATTAATTAATTTTTAATTATCTAAAAAGGATTTTAACAATTCTTTAAAAAAAAGTACCAGTATTATTTTTTAGGTTTTTGTTATTCATTTAATTAATTAATTAATTTAGCATTCATTTATTTAGTCCATACTGAATGAACTCAAAGGTTTTTACATTGCTACTAAGGTTTCAATCAGCTTATAAAAGCCTTTGAATCTCATTATCTGCTCCAAATGGTAATTAAACACTGACAACCAGGTGCTGTCAACCAGACAGAATCCTATTGAAAATTTGCCATTCGTCTGGTGAACATACCACTTGAGACAAGTGCAAACCAGTAATTACTGTGAATGATCTTAGCACACAATTTTTTCACTTTTGTCTGCCACAGTTTAATTATCCTGTGTAATCTTCTCCAAATAATTCTCATCCTTACATTTATTCTGTCTGGTATATGATTATTTTTTTCTTTAATCTTCTCTAAATTAGTTCTGTCATTATTTCTGTTGTATGAAAAATAAGCCCTAAGGTTATGTATTAACTAATAAATTTTGACTACTACTGAATGAACTTCTTCAATTTGCACTTATGATAGTTAGCTTATAACACTTCATTAATTTTTCAAACTTTTTTTCACAAAAACAGACTAAAATGTACTAACATTAGGGTTTCTTAAAAAATCTAATTTACATTTTCTCTCTTTTTCGTTTCCTTTCCCATGTTTTTCCCAAATATCCAGATTTTTCCTCTTTCTCATTTTTATTTCCCATCCTTTTGACCTTTCTTAGATTTTTTCAACCATTTATCGTTTTATCCCATTTCAGTTCCTTTCTTCCACCTTAACAGTTTTCCACTTGCATTTTCCTCTTTCATTACTCATCACTTTAATCCAACTTCATCTCAAACTACGTCTTGTATTGATCTCAAGTTGCAATACTCATATTTCATTCACATTTCACGTCATGTCAATATCCATTATCAACCCCGTGCGGCGGTGTCTTTCATCTTGCCGTTAAATGGCTTTCCAGATGAAGTTACAACTTTATCACTACAGATTTGCCACTTAAAATTTATTTCAATAACAATCTCCCTTCAGACGTTAAAAGAACCTTTGAATAACGATGTCTGGCGTGTTTGGACTGATAATACATCAATACTTGAAAGGATTGTCTAACATAATTTATGAACAATTCGTTTTGTTGACTATAACAAGAGATCTCGGATCTAAAGTACGCCAATTCCCGTTTAAAAGTTAACATTTTCAAAGTCATAACTAATGTATTAAACCAAAAAAACTCTCATTCTTACTGTAACTATTTTATTTCCTTTCAAATTTATCTTCTTGTTATCGTATAAATGACTTAAAGTTTTTATTTTAGTGGTTGCCTTGGAGTTCGTGAACAATGCTCTGTTCGTTTGTTTAAGTGTTTGTCTACCATCTATTCCGCTCGTTAGAAGTATCTCTTTCTTTACACTTGTAACTTTTCCTCTTCTCTCAAACATCAAGAATTACTAATTGCAAAGCATAGTTATACCACACAATGATTTATTAAATACTTATTCTCATCTTAATCTTAATCTAGCAAAAGAGATAACGAGGTATTTCAGGTCTGGCTTGTTTTTCTTTCCATTTTGGTTTCCTATTCTCTCTCGTGTCTTGTCGTGTACTTAAAGCAGTGTTCATTCGACTCTCAGGTAGCAATGTTGTCGGTAACCGGCTGGCTGGAGTTTTTAACTCCTTGATCTGCTTATCAGACTTTGTTCTTTCTCTCCGATCTTCCCTCCCTCTTTCCTGATATCGTTGTCTTTCACCTCTCTGCTTTGATTTCCCTTTATTCTTAGAAGAACTGTTCAAATACGGGTTCTTTGTGTTCGTTATTTGCAGCATCAATCTTCTCTTTCTGTTATCTAATTCCCATAATGATTTTCGCACACGCTCTCTCTCTTCACAAATCCTCAACGCATAAGCCATTCGAATCTCCTCCATATCCCTCGCGAGGTAAACTTGTCGTAGCTTCTGTTGCTCACGGTAGCTTTTTATTTGAGCGAGTTGTTGAGTCAAATTGTTCGTCAGAAGCGCGGGAAGAAAACTATCTTCTTCAGCGATAGTGTACATCTTGGTTGCTACAACTTTTCTCTTCTGTTTTTGGTGTTTTAAAGCTCTTTTCACCGGATAATCCTCGTAATCTTAAAAGCGAATATATTAACCGACCAGGGACTGTTCGTTTACACAGTATGAACCAGTCTTTTCAGCTGTGAAGTAGAATTCATTTGGTTCAATGTTTGCATTGCGACTTTCAATTGTCGCTTACTATTGTATGGTAATGAACTTATTTAATACTTCCACTGACCCTCGCGTCCAACATTTACTTTGTCTGAAAAGGAAATGTCAAAAACATCACGAAAGAAAAATAGAACCCGTATAACGCTGAACCCAGTTTGTCTGAGCGTATCCACTTTACCGTTGCTAAGGGACAAGTTATTCTATTTTAAGACTTCTCGCCTGTAATGGGTTTTGGATATCGTAATATGCGGAAAAACAGGTCGTTACACCATTGTAAAGCCCAGGGATTATTAATAAATTAAGCCGAAACCGCTTATAAGCAACAAGACAATCGGTCGATTAAGATCGAAATAAATTATCGTTTTTCTGCAGCAGTTGATATTTTAGTTCCTATATTATTCTAATCATATTATTCTCATTTTTTGCTAGGTTTCCTTTTCCTTTGTCGACTCCTTATTTTTTTAAACAAAGAGCGACTAGTTTTTGACTGTAAAAATTAGATTTATGATTAGATCTCATATCTCACACTTTTTTTGTAGCTATAGAAGTATTAACGTCATTGTATTGGATTGTCTCCATGTTCGACAGCCTACCCCAATTGGAGGCATACATACTATACTAATTATCTACTTATATGAATGTAAGCTGCGCGACTGCCTATGGCGCTTAAATATGCAGCACGCAAGTCCTCTAGTGATCATGAATGTAAAACTCGTTGATGTGACGATGAATTTCTCGTCAGTTTAGTGTAGATTTTCTTCACCAATACCAGTAATGACTGGAAACATTAGAAAAACCGTTTGGTTCTCTTGCTAGCACTGCAGTTCGGTTGGCCAGTGGAAAACATTGGTTACCATTGGGTTGCCATGGAGATACTCATTGTCAAATTTTGACTTCGTGTTTGGTTGACAAAAACCTGTCTTATTCTCTAATGTTCTCAAGCACTCACTTGAGAAAAATTTTTATTTTTTCGCTTAGATTCCCGCATCTTGGTTTGACGTGATCCCTCAACTCGGTAACACACGAACTATCAAACTCTACTTGACTCTTTACTTAGTACGCAAAGGATTGTTGTTCAAAATGTGACCCTCTTCCCGTTTCCAAAATTTAATCAACTTTAACTTCTCTTTTTTTTTTTTTTTTGCTCTAAGTTAAATTTAAAAAAACCCCAGATTATTTCCTTAAACATTCTCGTCGAAATTTTGAGTTTAGTTTATCATTAGAAGGCGAGGCTAACTGGGTCGGACCATAATACCTTTTAACTGTCATGTCAAAAGTTGGGGGGTGTGCATTTACCATTATAATATACCACCCTCTTGGTCAGTTATAAGTTTTTGAAATTATAATCAGCGGTTTAGCGCTGATTTCCCAGAGTCCTTTAAGAACCTAGCTAGAAAAACAGCTGGATTAGATTTTGTCGCAATCATAGTATATCATTAAGAGCCAAGGCAAAAATTAGACGTTTTATTGAAAATACGGTGCTTTATTACTGGATTATTTCTACTGGACTTTTACCAACAAAAATGTGTACCCTACGGAACTGCGTAACAAATTTTGGATAAATTTCCGTTTTCAAAGGTGAAAAAGCTTGAAAGTTGCAAAAACTTCATTAACTTATATCAAAACCTGCACAATTATATTGAGCTCAGTGCATCATGCGTGAAGTCAATGCTCATTTTTTCAAGATTACGAGATTTTTAGAGCGATACATAACACGTGAGCAGAGTTTATTGGGTCTCTCCCTTAAGTTAAGGGTTTTTTTCCTGGATTCTCCGGTGTTTCCGTCCTCCGCAAAACCTAGCACGTTAAATTCCATTTAAATCTGTGAAATAATCGTGCCCTTACTTACATCAGTCCAGAGGTTGTTTTAGGATTTGAAGTTTATTGCGTTCAGTACTTTTTTGTTTGCTCGAGCCATTGTATAGAGTAGACAATAACTTGACAGCCGCCATCGAATTGAATACACACTATTATATTCCCTGGCTAATTAGACATTACAGACTCGTCAGCAAAGCTGGTTACTTTTGAACCAAAATTCGCCAAATTTCAAATTGATTTAAAGAGGAATTGTCAAGTTTGAAAACAGCAACTCTTAGATTTATTGATTGGAAATAACTGAAAGTGCAATCGTTAAAATCATCGATTAACGACCTCTTTATTAATACAATCGCAGTACAACTTGATTACATTTAAGCCTAGTTATAGCCTCTCTTATCCTCTGTCGTCCAATCAGATACCTTGATTAATATTCATTGTTTGTTAGCTACCGTGAACGGAACGAAAACATATAGGTTGCTTGGTAGAAGCGCTGTCTCGCTTCAACCGGACTTAGTCCTCTTTTTTGAACGAAAAATCCATGTATTTTGGTTCCAATGGGACATCAATGGATACTATCTTATACAAGACTTAAAACACAGAAAGATTATATTTCATGGATAAGATACTGTGAAGAAATCAACTGTTTTAATTACATCAGCAGAAACCGATCAAGTGTGTACAAACTTTCGAAGGTATCCGAATTCATCTCTAAAAACAGTTATTCACGAGTTTTCTTGGTTCAATCCTGAAAGTATCTCCAAGACGTCCAACAAAGTACAAAAAGGTACTCCATACCTCAAGTGAGAATTTCGGCAATTATTGATCAATTAGTTCTCATTGCTAATGAATTACGCTGTGAATTATCATAAAAACTGTGTGTAAAAAGCCGACAAAATGACGACGAATCCTGCTTTGGCAGAGCTAGAAAGTACAGCGGACGTTGGGGAAGCCAAACGCGATCTAGTTCTAAGGTTCGTTCGGGACCAAGAATCGTTACAGACGTCCCAGGTTGAGCTGAAACTCGTCGATGACGATACGATCGATTTGATTGACTCAGCTTTCACTGCTAATGAGATAGCTCTACAGAAAAACAACGAACAAATAAACACTGATGTAAAAAATAACGAGGATTTATTGAGAACTGGAGTATCTGGGCTTACGCTTGATGATGATGGTGGTGAAGCCAAGGGGCTGGCAATTAGTGATATGGAACAAGTGCCTCGTCCACCATCGGGACGACCACAATCAAGAAAAGCCCATAGGAAAAGGAGCTCCGAATTCAAAGAAAAGCGAAAGATTTCTTATTCGAGTCGAATAAACGACATCGAGAGGTTTTCCAATAATAGTCCTATGTCACCCTTCCCCGTGGACGCCTATGGTAGCTTAAATCAACCCCATCAGCATGTCGTACAGCCAGATTTCGACTCTAATTCAGCTTTGAACTCTTCTTGGCCACAGCAAATCTTGTCTAGAAAGTCAAGCGCTGGTTCGAGCTATCGAAAACACGCTCTTCATACACCAGAAAAACATCTTTTTTTCGAGGGCGCAGAAAACGTTTATCCTCATGAAACAAGACCGACATCGTCACAAAATTTCCAGCGTCTCGCCAGTGGTGAAGCGCTTATGGCCGCGCGCGTTCGCAAGCATTCCGCTAACGAAAGAATCACGTGCAATATAAATCAAATGATGGACTCCCCGATTCACCATTCGAGAAGCTCAAGTCCTACTAAATCTACGAGGCGTTTAACAAGTAGAGGCAGAACTCTAATAAATTTGGGGTTAGAACCTGTGGATCCGAGCGAAATTCCGATACTAAGAGCTGCATCGGCTGGGAAAGCTGCTTCGCTTAGTGGTCCGTACGCCCTCGTACAGTTGCCTCCTATATCGCGAGAGACGCCCACGGCTATGCCACCGTTCAGCTAGCCCAAGACACAGTACCCAAGAAGGACCAAAATCGTAGGATCATTTATTTCCCATCACACGGAAATGGAAGTATATATACTATATAGAGTCAGTAGGAATACCGATGCGCAAGATACAGACCCGCTTGCATGTGCGAAGAGTTGATGAGTTGATATCAATTCTCAGTTTGGTCTGACGGGGCAGTCGCTCATGGCTTGACTGAGTAATTTTACTGGTAGCAAAATGAGTAGATTGACTGTGTTTTCTACACCAAGTGAGAATTCTAACTAGATGACTGGATTTCATCCTCGAGGACAACAAGTCTGTTAGTAATGCTTGGTTTTTATTGCGATAAACCTTAGACAACTTATAGGCTTTCTTCGGCCTTTGATTTTCTGATTTGAATGAGAAAATGTTGATTTAAAGTTTTGAAAATAAGAACGAGTATCAAGTTTAAAGACTCAAAATTCTCGGTTTCAACGGAGTTGTACAGTTTGAACGTTTTGTACTGAACATTGTATAGATCATTGTAATAGTACAACCTTCCAATCTGGCCCCAAGGGCTAAAAAATAAAATTAAACTTTAGATGAATACTTCATTGCTTGTATTTACAACTAAATGTATTATTATTTCGTACAAAAAGGTGCAAAAATGTAAATAAAGAAAAGTAAACACCTTCTTTCTTCGATACGTTAACTACTTCCATTTGACGTTGGTACAGCTATATTGATTCGAAGAAACGGTTAATAGTAAATGCGACACTGTAATGGCTCGAAATTGCTTTGTACTCACTTCACACCTCAAATGTTAAAGACAAATTCATTTTTAATTGTAAGATAACGATCAAAAATACTTCTCACTTCAAAGTATTGAGTGTAGAAATTCTCTCTGACATTCATTATAAAAAGTAAACACTTAATAAGGAGATAGTATGCCATCTCGTTAGACAAGTCGCCATTAATCTTGTGTAGTTGAATTTATTTACCAAAAGACTAGTTTAATTGACCTTTCAATTTATGCTGAAAATTCAAGCAAATTTTAAGACTCTACAAGAGTCATAACTCTACAACTTATACGAATAGTCTAAAACTCTTCATTTGACATTTAGAACAATAATACACACACAAAAAAATAATTTTAGAACCGATTTCATTGTACTGTTTTTAAAACCACTCTTTTTTGATTTAGAAATGCGCCCTAAATATTTTGCGCAAATTCATAGCGTAACTCTGAAAAAAAAAAAAAAAAAAAGATCATAGTTTTAAAAGTTTAATTTCATAAATCTTTAATGGTAATATTTATAGCTATCGAACCACTTTCTCTCGTATAGATGTTTTCTTGAATTGATTGTTTGGAAACAGGAATAGACGTTTCTTAAAAAACTTAGGAAGTACGACTGTCGACCTACGAGACGGTCATACGACATCCAGTGTATTATTCAAGTGGTTTCCGAGATATTTTGGAAGTCAGATAGACATTTTCCAAGGCGCTTCTAACTCATTACGAGCCCCCTACGAAGATGTTAATATCTTGGAATTTTTGAGCTGAAATTAAAATTAATGTTATTTATTTTTGTTTCATTATAAACATTTGTCTGCTACTGAATTTGTTGTTTAAATAGTAACTCGTTTCTGCATTTCTTAAAATATTTATCGCTTAGCGAACATCAATGACAGGCTTTCTAATATACCATGCAGACAAACTAATCCATAAGTAAATACTAGTACCAAGAGAATATTCTCTTGTAAATAGAATCAACAATGACCAAAAGATTACAGGTTTGTTTACAGTAAGTGAGGCCTCGTTGCCTTGGTTATCTTGATACGCCATAACACGCGGCTTACATGCGGTGATGGAAATTTTGATTAAAATTTTCGCTCCAGAATTCAAGAGTTGTTGTGTTTGTCTTGCCTTCATTAGTTTTCGTATTCCATTAGAAGGAGCTAGGAAAGATGCCGCTTAAGCTGAATTTGTTTTTTTAACTACGTGTATAGTATAACAAAAGGAAATTGTATGTGACGTAAGCACTGTGCTTTTTGAAGCCAAGGGAGGGGAGGGAGAGTTATATTTCTGTTAGTTTAGATTCTGACTTTCCAGTCTTTTATATAACTCGTTGTTTTGGCATATTTTGAAATGAGAATTTGAAACGAAGTTCACGCTAAATTCACCACATGGAGGGAAGGGGAGAAACTAAAGTTGTTAGTCTGTCGTGATCTACCCTCTCCTCACCTAACAATGTTTCATAATGGCTGTTCTGAGGCTGTTGTTTTCACGATTTTCCGAGAAGCTTTTCCTCTGGTGTTTTCCTAGTTGTTTGCTTCCTCCTGTGATTATTTTTAGTTGGTGTGACGTCAAAATTAACGTCATTATCTGTTAAAGAAACAATAACAGTTAAAAAAGTGCTGTCTCGTGACAGTCAAATGGCTTCCACTGCAAGCCAATCAAAACCCTAGAAAACGAAAATTGACCAATCATAATACTGGAATATAGAAGCCAGCTGGATGTTGCATTTTCGTTTCCCGTTCCACGAAGTTTGGACTTATGAATTTAAAATTGTATTGTTTGACAAGAAAAACCAATTTCTAGTTAAAAAAAAAATCCGAAAAATAATACAAAGGGCTAAAAGCAATAAATCTTGAGGTGCTTCAGTTAAAACTTGTCTTCTCGTATTCATCATGGCTTCTAGTCCAGCTTTACAAAAAAGATAATTTTAGCCGATTATTTAATCAAAGTCTTATTATTACAAAGTCAAAGTACCTTATGTCGCTCATTCAATACCGTCTTAAATGAAATTGGACCTCACTGTGAATTCTATTATTTGTATTATTTATTTAACTATATTTTCTAAGTATTACGACTAATTCTCATCGTTACAGCGACGGCAGCTGACGGCGCCGAGTAAGTCTGACCCCTTAAAAAACAAAGCTTATGAAAGAGGACGCAATAGAATTTTCAAAACGAATACGTCACCTTCAAATTATATGATGAAAACGAATAAGGTATACTTCACTTTTATTTTTTATTTTTAAATATCCGACTGTTCTGTAAAATTCAAGAGAGAACTCGTAGGAATATAGCTTAGTTATCAATTCGTTGACCAAGTGAATTTTCACCACTATTTACGTTGTTCTTTTATTGGAAAAAACTCGAACTGTTTTTTTACCTGTTTTTATGGATAATCTTTTTAAAGTATTCAATATTTTCTTTACCATTATTTTCAAGTTCTTGAATAAATATAAATATAACTATTTACACACTTTTAACTTTCTCTTTGTTTTTAAGAATTTTTTTAAATGTTGTCGGCATTATATCGAGAAGTCAAAGATTTAGAGGTATTTATATTTCTGTCCAGCGTTCGTCGTCTTTCTGAACGATTTTTGGGTCACGAAAAATGATAGTTTCCATTTCTAACGCCTCAAAATGATGTAACAATTTTAGTTAAGTGCTTGATGATCTTGTACAATTTTTTAACGGAGATGATACCACATTATCATCGACTTTGCAAATCCCTCTCAGCCGGTCCATCAGCATATATTTACTATATGCTTTATGTTATATTCTAAGTAGTTAGCCCTCGTGCTCTTGGTAAAGTTCTTTGTCCTCTTGCTGACATTGGTCGTGCAGGTTTTTTTAGTTCAACATGTTCATCATTTTCGAATGGTTCTCGTGTTGTTCCTAGACGTGATGGGGGCCGAGTTGGTTTTTTCGTCGCCTTGATTGGTTCCAAGGGCGGTAATCCTCGAGGATTCTTTCCCAATAAATCCCCGGTGGATAGATGTTTTTTATGTTCAAGATTTAAGCTTGTATCCCAAAATAAACTAGAACTGCTACTCTCTTGGGCCAACGGAGGAGAGTACGATCGTACAGAACTAGTCGAACTAGAGTCATCAATGTATTCCTCATCTTCATACTCTCCATTTTGAGACTTTTTCCTTTGTATACGTTTTTGAGCTCTGTAGTCAGCTTCGGAGAGAGAAATTTTTCTTGTTTGATCTGCTACGAAGTCGAGAATTTCATTAACCGACTGTTGTTGCTTTGGGGAGATTTTCCTCTGAGGAGGGTGTTGTAGCGTCGTTTGACTATTCATGGTGTTCACTTGCTAGGTGTAGCATCAATTTTAAGCGAACAGCTTTACTTGAGCTCTCTGAAAAGAAACGCAATAACCTTTACAACTCGACCTGAGTGATCAATGATCCACATACTACAAAAAGCTTATCCAAACATACGCTTGTTTGGCGTTGCATCGCGAATTAAAACTTTTGCCGCCAGAGTTCGCGTGTTTTGACTTGTCTGAAAGCTCACGCTATGCCATTAAAAAAACCTCTTGAGTGAGTCGTCCAATGCAAATCCATTATTCTAGAACCCTCTTCATTCTGTTGCTATGTTGCTTGACGACCTGTTGTGGCAACCGCCCCGCGGCGATGGTACTGTTTGGATATTTTATTAAGGCTTTCCCTTTTTTTTTTCATTTTTCGCTCATTAAAACTACGTCTTTTTGGTGGTATTATATTCAACTCCAGAATCTGAAATTTCAGTTAGATTCCTATTTACTAAGGTTTGTCTCAGTACAGGTTTGTCTCTTTTTTCTTTATGACTAAAGATACCTCGGGACAAATTTTGTATTCATTAACAAGTCTATATTTCTGTTTTTCTGAATATGCTGTCATTTTTCGTAGTCAAGGGCTGACAATGACAACATGTTATTACTAGTACTAGTAATACAATGTTCTACAAATCAGTCATTTTTACACTATAGTTAGTTCCAGATTTTCCAGTTATTTGGCGAAGAATTCATCATTTACCTACTCCTACAATCATAACCTTAATTTTAATCGAAGGAATGAGGAATAAATATTAGTGACAAGGAATATATTTGTATATATATATATATTATTTACGCCTTGAGCATTTTACTACTAATTAGTCAAAAAGCTATTCAAAATTCCACTTCAATTGTGTATAAACAGAATTTTGATGGAACAAAAAGTCAGAAAATATTTCAAAATGCGCCCGACCGCTCTCTTTTTCATACAAATCCGGACGAGAAACATTTGTTGTTGTTTTTTACTTGGACTTATTCGCTTCAGTAATGAAGAAAACAAATCAATACAATTGATGCAAATGCGGACGAGAAACATTTGTTGTTGTTTTTTACTTGG